GACTGCTAACACATGACAATGCTCTGCACTTGGCCTTTTGCCTAAGGAGGCCCAAGTTCTTTCTAGAATCAGAGCCCGAATTCCTTCAAGACTTAGAAAAGAAGCCTGCTATAATGCTGTCATTCAAAAACAATGCAGAGAAGGACAGCACAGACCTACTTGTGATGTTAGTTTACACAACCTCATGCTCCCGAAGCACAAACATGAACAGATTTAACCCAAATCTCAGTTACCAGCAGAACTGGAGGAAGCAGCTATTTGTGGCACCTTCCCTATCAAAATACGGAAGTCTTCAGGTCAGAAACACAATGCTGTATTTTGCATTTGCATTTCAGGCATCCAGGTCAGGCATTCTGGGAAACGTATAGGGCTTCCCCCATTCTGACTTTCTGCCCTACTTTGCCGTGTTGGGAGCAACACAGCCCTGGCCAGAACCAATCTCTTCTCTTTATTGTGGATGAACTGAATTTTGATTATAGTTCTCAGCGGGCTTGAGTCAACTGTGCTAGATTAGACTTGAGTTGTTCTACACTTTTGTCAGGAATAGCCAAATACGAGCTATTTTGGAGGAAAGTTCATTATATCCTGAACAGACAGAATGTTCCCAGGACAAATCTCCTCCCAGTTCCCGGGCTGGCCAACTTTAACTCAACTTTCTTTACAGGGTGCACACCAGGGCAGGTCAACCGGGGTGTAGGAGAACTGCCCCCCTACATTAGCACCACCCAATGAAGTATGAATAGCAACTGGAAGGGTAAGGAGCCGCTTGGCTGCACAGCCTCCTGTTCAGATTGCAGCTGGATCCAGCTTGCTCACTGCTGAGATTAGCTTTTCCCACAAGGTGAATTTCTCCTTGAGTCCAGGATCTGCACAGCCAAGTCTGAAGACTGGTCCCTCCCAGTCCAGAAGGTGAATGTGGCCAGAAGAAAAAGTCATGAAAGAATATAACCCAACTGGAGTAATTCTGCTGCATGAATACTTCCTCTCTGAGCTTGCCTAGGGGTTTTGAAACTGCAGTTTGCTAACAGAGGGTGGAGAAGCCAAGGTAAGCAAAGGATTTATAACACCACAAAAGTCTTCCTCATTCTTAGTTACTGCTGACCTACAAAACACAGGCAAATGCACTGCCAAAAAAAAAAACACACTGTTTAGGGTAGTAAATCATTGATTGGGGACATTTGCTGAGGGACTTAATATGGATTAAATTGTATTGACATCTAAGGTTTATTTATCCAGGAAAGAGTTCAGACTGCTCAGTGTAGCACGCTGCTTCTGCAGAAAAAATTAGCTTGCTTCTCTGCAAAGAAACAAAGCAGGTCCTGACCTCATTTACAGCAAATAAACACACTGACATTCCAGCAGGTGGAATAAATCCAACTGCACGGGAGCATTAAGAGAGGACCCCGTCTTCTTACTGCTCCCATTTCCAACTTCTGAAGAAGTGTCCTAATAGAAATTCCAACCACAAATGCCCACTCTTTCTCCTGCTCTCTCCCCTGGCATTATTTGTAAGCATGTTCATTATCTGGCACTTTTTTACAAAGCTCTTCAGCCCAGGATCTGCACTCAGGACTCTGCTAATTCTCACCTTCTGACATTGCAGTAAAGCTCAGCCTGTGGATCCCAATGAGTTGGGTGCTTCAGACAAACTGCTCTGGAAAATGCTGCTTTTTTTTAAACCCACTGAAAAGTGCATGACCTCAATATCCAGCATTACGAGAGGCCTCTGGTTTGGACAGCACATAGACTCAGGTTTTTTTCAGCATAACCCAGGGATCAGCTGGCATCTCTCCTGGCACCACTCACAACAGGCAACCTATCAGCCCTACATGCAATGGTCCTTCAGTGCAACTTCGTAAGAGCTGGGCACCTGGAAACCAACAGCTTTCAAAATGCCACCTTCTTTATTTTATCTGTGTTTGGTTTGGCACATTTTCTCCAAGAAACAGACCTATTAGCACCTTTTCTCCTAATCTTGTGGTATTTTTCCAAGAACACTACAGGTCTACAGCTGGTACAGCTTTAGAACTAGGAAATATGAAGTTGTTTGCTTTGTTGCTGGGCCCTGGGCAGCCTGGTCTAAATGAGGAGGTTGGTGGCCCTGCATCTGGCAGAGGGGTTGGAGTTTCATGATCCTTGAGGTCCCTTCCAACCCTGGCCATTCTGTGATTCTGTTGCTCATAGGTGCAGGAGTGATGGGCTGCAGCAAGTTTCTCATAGAGAAAAGCATATCTTCTCTGCTATTTTGAGGCTTTGATTTCTCACAACTTCACTGACTGACAGATGGGTGAGGAGGAAGATAGGGAATTGATGCCTGTTGCTTTTGGTAGATAGGAGTGTATTTTTTTTTATGGTTTCTCCTCTAATACTGCCAATAAGGAGCAGACAGAAAGGGAAACCAAGCTTCTCCTTCCTCAAGAAGGAGCTCTTCCTCTGGAAGGAGATACCTTGATCTGATTTCCATTTCTCCAGAGTTTTCTTAAGAATGAATTCTGTACATTCAAGAGAAAACAGGGAAACTTCATCCCACACTAACTGCTATTTCTGGTGCTACCATGCAGAAATGCTGTTTTCCAACAAACTTTAGTCCACAAATCCACAGTAGGTACCGATTTTGTACCTTCCTAGTACCAGCAGAATATGCTTTTGCAGCTCCATCACTTCATACCTTTGGTAACTGCCATCAACAATGCAGCAAATCAGCAACGTGACCTGCAGTGATCCTTCCTGTATCATCATAGCACACCTTGGAACTTCTGCACATCTTATAGAAAAGAAATGTTACCCACTAGGCCTGAAGTTTTCATTAACATAAGTCAGAACAAAGAACACATGGGGGGTTGAAAGCAGATGAACACATTTCCTCATTGATTTTAAAGGAAAAAAGTTGTTGCTTTTTCTTCCAAAGCCAGGAACAGGTGTTTGAATTGCTGGGTGAGCATCACTTCCTTGTGGCAGATATGGATTCCAGGACACCAACTATTAAATATAACCAAGACCATCATACAGAGCTCACACAAATGCTAGTGATTTTCAGCATACAGTCATCAACATGTAAGGAATCTTACTGGTACATCCCAACATCTCTTTTTTTCTGTGGAGGCCACCATTAGAAAAATACATTTTGGAGATCATTTCATCTGAAGTATTTTCAGCCACAAAATAATTAACACAAAAGCAAGCGTTGCAATTCTCAGAATAAGTTCACAAACAATTTCAGATCAGTGTATCACTGGGTGTTTTAAAGAGGGAAGTTATGCTCTCACTGATTAGGTTTTACAGCCCTTTTTTAAAGAGGGACCTTGAAGAAGAAAGGTTCATCTCTTACTTTTGCAAGTTTATCTCAAATATTATATGCAGTTTTAATATGTTTCTAATTTTGCAGTGTATAAACAAGTACTCAGCACAGATCATCAGCAGGATTACTAGAACCTTGCAGATGGGACAAGGTCCATCCCATGCAGCTATGACCCACTGACAAGTGATAAAGTTATTTACCAGGGAGGTCAGGTAAAAGTTGAATTGAGGGCACTAAGGACACGTTAACTTCAACAGCTTTAGAGAACAGCTAAGTTAAAGATGAATCCATTACAAGACTGGTCCTGAAAGCAGCAGGGCTGCAGTTTGTCCTTCTGCCACTCTCTGCAAGTCAGCATACAGCTGTGTCTGCAAGGATCAGGGCTTCATTGGGCAAAGCTATTAAGCATGTATCTGGCTTCCAATGGACTCACTGATGAGCCAGCTTAGCAAGACCACTCTTTTCTCATAAAAATGAGGCAATTACTATGTCAGGCTACTGGGAACATCCCAACAAATTAAATACTTCATCAAGAAATAAGCCAACAGATATACAGATACCCTCCAAAACCTCAGCGCCAAGCAACAGCTTCCATTTGACTCTACAACAGAGTTACCCAGTTTGTTTGGAAGGGGAACCCCCACTTCTATTCCTCTTGGCCTGAAGTGAATGACTCCTTTTACATGCAGTAGAAACACAACATGCTCGTGGACAGAAGTGGAGGCACAGCCAAAGTTCAGTATTAGACCTTATTCAGGCCAGAGGCTCACCTGCTGTGGATGGAATCTCCAAAAGCAATGTTGCTTGTTTGTTGTATTTCTCCATCTTCCCACATTCCCAATTTAGCTGCAGACAGTAGAGAAAAAGAAACTGATAAGAAAAGATCAAGTGGCATTCTGGTACTTCCAGGGTACAGACCTTCTAAGCTGTAACTCCAGAACTTCAAAATGAAAAAGTATTTACAAGGATTTTCATTTTTTTTTTTTTCTTTTTTTTTAGTTTTATAGAAAGAAAGGACTTCCTATTGACTATAAATTAAAAATTTCTTTTCAGGATTTTATTCCTTCTGAAAGAACAAAAACCAGCACAATGCTCTCTCCTCTCAGGTTTGGGAATGAGGTTATAGGAACACTCACCTCACCTATCAGCCCAGGAACTTTGGAGTGACAATGATCCTGCAGCAGTGGCATGAGCACAGCCACATGGGGACCCTTCAGGTCCTAGAAGAGATAAAAGCATGGCAGAAACTCAGCAACTTTTGAAAGAATGTTTTTTTGGAGGTTGGAACTGAGATAGCTAGGAAATTTCTTTTCTGTACGGAGGAAATCCTAGCTTCAATTTGACCACTTCCAAAAGCAACTGGAATTTCAGGTGCCTCATGAAATCCTCAATGGACGTTTTCATTAGATGTTTTCGTTGGACCTTTTATTTCATCAGTATTTCAAGGTTTCTGGCTCTATATGAGTGAGAAGCAACTGTTGACTACATGAACACAGCCAAGCAGGGCTTCAGTAACTGCAACAAGCACCACCATTAATATTGTCTGGCTTTGTTAACTGGGAGACTAGCTAACAGCTTCACACTGGAAAAAATGTAAATACCACCCAGATTGAGAAGGCCTTATTTCAGAACTTACAGCCACACAAAGCCATAAATTGAAGAGATCTTTTTAGGAATCTCACTGTACCTTTTCTTTCAAGGTAAATGATACTGGACTCAGTCAGTCTCAGGGAAACAGCAGCCTTCCAAACCTGGGGGGAACTTCACAGCTACTCCAGAAAGTGCTTGACTTCCAGACTTCAGGGAGGGCTGGAAAAAGAGCTATCAGCAGTAAATACTTCAAAGAAAGGATGAAACACATGCTTGCATCACTCCTCTTCTTATTTCATTGAATCACAGAATGGCTTGGGTTGGAGGGGACCAGTTTCAATGCCCAGGTAGGGCTGGTTGCCCCAATCAGCTCAGGGCCCCATCCCACCTTTGAGTGCCTCCAGGGATGGGGCACCCACAGCTCTCTGGGCAGCAATGCCTCACCGCCCTCTGAGGAAAGGATTTCTTCCTAACACCTAACCTAAATCTCCCCTCTTTTACTTCAGAGCCATTCTGCCTCTTCCTATCACTGTCAGAGTGTAAAAAAAAAGTTGGTCCCTCTCCTGCTTAAAGCTCCCTTCACCTAGTGGAAGACTGCAATGAGGTCTACATGGAGCCTTCTCTTCTCCAAGCTGAACAAGCTCAACTACCTCAGCCTTTCTGGAGCTCCTTGAGCTGCTCCAGACTTTGATGATCTTTGAGGGCCTCCCCTGAACCTCCTCCAGCAGCTCCACATCCCTCCTGTACAAGGGCCCCAGACCTGGACACAGCACTGCAGACAGGGACAACCCTCTGTCACCCTTCTGTGGGTGCCAGAGCATCCCTATGGGCTGCAAGCACACACTGCTGCCCCACGTCCCACCTTTATCCATCAGGACCCAAAGCTCCTTTTCTGCAGGGCTGCTCTCAAGGAGTTCTCCCAGTCTGTAATCCTACCTGGGGTTAACTTGACCCAAGTGCAGCATGTTGCACTCAGCTCTGTTCAACTTCATTTGTTCCACCTTTTCCTCTAGTAACTACCAACAGAACACAAAAGGTAACATCGTGTGAAGCTCTGGACTTTTCATTAACATTCTTTCATTTTTTGTAGGAGAAAAAAACAACACATCCTGAAGCCCAAAGCAGTTTACTTATAGCTGGAGTGTACTTGTTAAGAAAGCCACAATGGGGAAAAGAGAAAACTTCCAGCAGAACTCTATACACGTTTATTTGCTTCAATCCAAAGCAGAAAGTTATTTCCACTAGAAAACTGTCGCAATGAAAAACTGACACATTTTATTTGCTAACGCCTCCCAGTCTGCCTTAAAAATACAACACACAGAGCACACAGAGGTAACTTTACCACCTAAATGTTTTCCTGTGGATGTTACAGAGACAGCAGTGTCTGAAGATGCTTACCTGCAGGTAGTACTGCTGTAAAAGTATCTGCTGATAACCTAAAAGACGAAAGCAATAAGGAGAGCAATGGCAGCCTTTTCACTGCTGTAATCTAGGAAAAAAAATCCCACTGTTTCATAGTGCTTGCCAATAGGTATATTTGGCTTCCATAAACCCTCTCATTTCCTTAAAGGCCCTTCAAAGTGCCAGCAAATAATCGAATTTTCCCAAGGTGAGGTTGCAAAGGAACCAAAACAAACCTTCTGCATCTGGGAGCAAGCTCAGAAAACATGTAATCAGCACAATCAGATGAGGGCAAAAGAACATGAAGTTCCTCTGGATCCACCAGAGACCCCAGTAAGTGGGACCAGAGTTGAGGGCTTCTGTCTGGGCTCCTTGGCACTGAAGTCTCATCCTCTAATTAATACACTCTGCTAAGGGAGAATGAGTAAGGACAAATTTGTGTTTAGGAACCAGGAAGGAGCAGGTACACAATTTTTTTCACACATCAGCAATTCAGTAAATACTGCAGAATGAAAAGAGAACTGGCTTTGTTGTTGGAAACAGCTGGCTGAAGCCTACCTGTGTGGTTTTGCCCAGGCTTCGTACTGGCTCACAGTCAAGCAATTTTATGTTATTCTATTTCACCTGGAACTAAGGAATGCTGTGCAGAAAGAGATGGAGCAGGAAGCTACACCAGAAGCTACACAAATTGCTGCAGTCATCACTACAGGGAATAATTTAAGTGTACTCTTTGCTCCCAAATCACACCTTATTGAGATCAATAAGATTACACTGAAAACATGCATAGCAGTGTAGAGTTGCTGGGCAAGGCTTAGAAGTAAGGCTCTAAACTGTATCTAAAAGATCCTCAAAAACACCCTTGATGTCAGATGTGGAAGAGGCTATGCAGAACACATTGTTAAGTGGGGGCCATTAATGGCCTCACATCATTTCTGCTTTCCTGACTTACCAACAGAAACTCTAAAATTAGTGAAGGATATTAAGAACCTCAGCTTATCTCTCATGCCTACACATTACTGATAGCTGAGCATGAATATACTTCAATCAACTAAAAAAGAACCACAACAAATATGAATTATCCACAATATAATTGATCATGTGCATCTCTAATTACATACACATCCATGCTGTAACCATTGCCTTTTAGGTTCCTCAAGGAGGTGAACTGCTGGCTGCTTTACTTCTAAGATGCAACAGCTGTGTTTCCATCTCTTCAATCTTCTGAACAATCCAGTTCCTCTCTATTTCCAGCAGCAAGGCTTCATCCCTCTTTGTGACCCAAGAATCTAACATTTCAGAATACTGCTGAGCTCCCCACGTTTCTTTGTTGCTTGCAGTCTATTACAGAAAATCAAAACAAAAGCAGAGTGTAAATTCATTGGACAGCATCAAGCAATATCTACGCCACCAAATCCAGGGGGCAAAAATCTGGGACAGGATCAAGTGCTGCCTGCACCATGCACTGCCTATACAAAAGCATGGGATGAGCTGCACTGTGCATGCTGACAGCACCCTTAGGCCTTTGCAAAGCCCACTGTATCAGCTTCAAAATAATGCAACCCACCTCTAATTAAATCAAATCCTTTGTTTTCCACCACATTGCTGTGGACAGTTGGACTGCATGATCTTGTAGGTCTTTTCCAACCTTGGTGATTCTAGGATTCTTCATATGTCTCAATGATTTTGCTTATTACTGTAGCCCACACAGTGGCTTTTTAAAAATAAATGGAGAGACTAATGAACAAAAATTTTTAAATTTACCATAATTATTCCAGTATCACATGTGGAGATGAGGCCAGGGGAGTCCTGGCTCCCAGGTTCTGCCTATGAAGCACATCATTTAATTCAAGCTGTTTGTTCCTTCTTGTTACCGTTTATGCTGAAGGGAAAAAATCTGTCTCCTCCAACTGAAGATATTGGAACTCATGGGGCTTTGGGTGTGCATGTAACTGACAACACAAACAACTCTCTTGTGTACCTTTTTCACCTCTACAATATCACTAAGCTGAATCACACAGGCACACACCTACATGAAGGTGAGGTGCTGTGGCCACTGCTCTGTGGCTGGTGGAAGATCACCCAGTAGAAGACAACTCATACCACAAGTGACTCCTCCTGTGTTCTCAGCTCTTTCTCCAACAGATCTCCATCTTCTTGCAGACCCATGGCCTGTACTGTCAATTCAACAAATGCTTTGTTTAGTTCATCCAGCCTCTCCTCCAGTTGTGTAACCTTCAGCTAGAGAACACAAAATAGGAAAACAGCAAACATTCTACAACAGCAGCATCCCTTAGCAGGGGTCACTCTTAGGGGTAGGTAGATAGGCATGCCAACTCAGAGGAGAGGTCATGTCATAACAGCAAGTCATGGAGATGTCTCACTGAATGCAAATCCTCAGCAGCACTTTAACAGAAAGAGATGCAGAGGTGATGCTCCTTTCCAAACATGCACCAATCAATGCAATGTGTCTGTCAGATTTACATCGAATAAGACTGTCAAAAATTAGTCTGAAATTCAGGTGTTCATCTCGAGAGCATAAGAACTTCATACTTTCTGAATTAGGACTCTCTGGAGATATTTAGAGATGCACATAATTTGGGATCTTTGATGACTATCACCACTTGTATAGGGCAAGAATTGAAAGACAACAGACATTATTAACTTCCTAAATATAGGAACAATAGATTGTTTGTTTTTTTTTTCCCCTGTGCACTCAAAACATCTGGGATACTTCTAAAGCTGTTGATGGAGAATTGTCAGAAAAGAAACAGCAAATACAGATGACTGACCTTAACAGAAGAGGGGTCTGAATTCCTGTCATAGTCACTTCTCTGTGAATTTCCCATCCTGTCTAAGATCCCCTCTTGCAGATGAAGACTCTGGTACTTTTGCAGTCTAGACTCCCTAATGGGAAGAGAAACAAGAGGAATTTCAGGAAGAAATTTCTGGAAGGAAGGAAGGAAGGATTTCACACGAAGTAACCCCATATTTCATCACTTTCTTTTCTGAAAAGAAAAATGTACAGGATGGCATTGTGAACTGTCTCATCCTATATCTCCAAGTAATTCTGAGTCTGTGAAAGACTTTTTACCAAGGTCTGATGAAGAGGGGGCTGCTGCAGCCTGCATCCTTGCAAACTTTGACAGATACAATGTGTTGTCACCCAAAACAGAACAGTAACACATCCACTGTCCAAAGTAGATCATTGTACATAAAGTGGATGTTTTTATTTCACTAGCAGTAATGTGTTGACCCACTGTACCTTTCACCCAGGGCTTTTCCCTTGACACGGGGATGTGGTGCTACTCTGATGCTCAGAATTTCTTTGAGCACTTCCTGAACGTCGAAGCGATCAGATGAGCCTGAGGGGTCCTGAAGTTGGAGCCATAAAACACACAAAACCCAACGCATTCAAACAATGCACAGAGAGCATCACAGTCCCAGAGATGATTCTCCCCAGCCATCATCTGCTAAGTTTTGCAGGCAAATTAACAAATTAAACTGAGAAAAGATGCTTCCTTTCCAGTGAACAGTTTCTGGTTATCAACTATCCTAGCAAGCCAAGACTTAGCTGTAGAACTTAAATCCTTTACTGCATAAGATGCCAGTGCACGAGCAGTGCAGATGAATCCCTTCTCAAGGAGGCATTACTCCAACTCTGTACACCTGAAGAGTTTCCCCATTTCTGCTTCATATTATTTAATCTTACCATCTCTAATTGCACTAGTGATGTAGAAGTAGGAAAAAAAACGTAGTAGAAATCCACCTTATAAACTGGAGAATCTATTTCTGCCCAATAACACCTTATGGAGTAGTCACTGCCATTAGAGGAAATCACCCTATTTACCTTGTCTGCTATCCCCCATGAAACCTGGAAAAAGGCATTGGCAAGAATCACAATAGCTCTGTTGAGCTCCATCATAAAGCAGGAATGAGCAGTACCAGCTGAGGGACAACCTAAAGCAAAGCAAAAGGAATAAATCGCATTTGTTGACAGCAAAACTGTTTTAAGTGAGAACACTGAAGGAGCAGCTCTCCCTGTGCTTGCAGAATAACAGATTCTAGTATAACCCTCATCCAAGGCACAAGTTTCCTGCTACAAAGAGGAAATCCAGCGCTCACAGGATTCATAAAATCCTGCTTGCTTTTGGGAACAGGACCCTGGAAAAAAGAAAAGTAGATATTCAACTGGGTATCTCAATACAAGATCTCATTTCTCACATGCAAAGCAGTGAAGACCAAACAGTGCTGCTCCCATAGGATACACACTCCTCACCACACCCCTACCTGCTGCAATCCATGCCACAGTGTTCAGCAGGACAGCAATAAACTCCCCAGCATCCTCCAGCCTTGCTGCATGCACATACAGGTTCTTGTTAATGGCATCATAGTAGGAGCCTCCAAAGCCTGGGAGAAGAGCTTGATCTGGACTTTGGGCAGGAATGGACTGAGCCAGCATGAGCAGCAAAGCAGGACATGAGAAGGCTCTGGTTAACTGATGCAACACTGCACAGCCAAAGCGGTACACCACAAACTGGTGAGGAGACAAAGTGGCTGGATCCATGGGGATGAGGGTACTCCTCATATCCTCTGAGGAACTGCCTCTGAAGCGTTTCTCTGAAAAGGAAGATGACAGCTATTGAGGTAAGTGATGCAGCTGGATGCTCCATCTCGCTCTCTTGCACAGGACAGCTGCCTGTCACCTCTAATTTACTCCCTGACACTCAATCTCTTCCCTCCAAGTGGTTGCTTAAGAACGAGGTGTAAGGGTCCGTAGGTTTCAAGGAGACAGTCTTCTACCATCATCTTTGAGGAGTACCATGGCACACTTACCACGTTCTTCATGCACAGGGAAGCTGAAGACATCACCTTTCCTACTGAAGAGCTCTTCTTGTTCAGGCAGCTTATAATCCTAAATAAGGAAGGCCTAAGAGTTAAAGAAATGGGCAGGTGGGAGAAAAAACAGCATAAAGGTGAGGGATGGCCTGACACCAAACATCTACAGCTCACCTGCCCTTCCACTACTTTTGCTTTACTTTCACTGTGCAGTGAGGGTAAAACTGCCACCATATCCTGTCCATGGATCTGCTGCTCCATCTCTCGTTTCATGTTCTTAGGCTGAGCTCTCCCAAGCAGGATTTCTAGAGCTTTCATCAACTCCACTGCCTCTTGCTGTAGTGCACCTAATGGAACCCAACAAGCAATGCAAATGGACTGCTACAGGAACACACAAAACACTGTTATCATCACCAGAGCAAACCTAAAAACAGACATCTTTCTCTGGAAATTCCACAGGAAGGCTCCAGAACGCCTCCTGGGAAGGTAACCAGATAGCACTGCATTCATTATGCTTTGCTGTAATTTTGGGAGGGTGCTGTAACTCTCTGCTCACCCATTCCTAAGCTGGCAGGCCTGTATCCTCACTGAATTTGTGTGAAGACAGGCTGTCAGCTCTTACTGAATGAAGGCACAATCTCATCAGTGTGAGCTGTTTTTAAACATTCCCTCACACTCCATTTCTCTTTTGCTCTGCACGGTGCTTCTCTTACCTGCCTGCCCAGCTGCATGGAAGCTGCTGCTGCAGTGTTCCTCACACTGTTCCATGCCCACTGCTGCCTGGCTGCTGTTTCCAGATTTATGCTCACAAATCCTTTGCCTGCCAAGGATTTTTAGGCCTTTAGTATCCAGTGCTCGCACCATGTCCTATTTATAATAAAGCAGCATTATTCTTTAAAATCTTAAAATCCATCCATTTCACTTTCTGCCTCTCACACCAAACCAGACATCAGCGTAAACTATTTTACACCAAAACAGGGTACAGCAGGGAGCAAGACCTATCATTCACTAAACTGCCACTTGCAAGCTTCTGTTTCAAGACCCCCTTTCCCACAGTTCTTTCTTCACACTGACCATGAGACCTTGAATCTGCTGGCTGATTCCATTGTAAAACACCAACACATCCCTCCTGTGCTTTGCCAGCTGAGATGCCAGGTGCAAATTCTGATCTTCCAACTTATCGTACAGAGTGCGAACGCTGAAATCCTCCAGGTCTCTCACTGCACAACATCCTTCTGAAACACAAGGTAAGTCTCATGATTGACCACTGGCCACAGATCTATTCTAAGGTATTTCCCTAGGGGCAATGACTGCCCATAGGAGACAACAGTTTTTTTTGTGTGCTGTGAAGAAACACAATGGGTTGAGGCATGCTGTGTAAGAGAAGGTCTCATTCCTTAGTAAGTGGAGGATGACACAGCGTTACTATCAATCTCTAACTTGCCCAGCAAGCTGTCAAGGTGCTACTTCTGCACTGTATTTACAGCTTGGAGTGGTACTTTATCCACCAGCTGCTCCCAGCACCAATAGATAGTGCCATCTGCCGGGCTCTGGGTGTGCTCTGCTCTGTGAACATCCAGAAATCCCAAAGATGAGGTCATGCCTTGAAGGCTAAAAAGGCCCACACGTCACGTGTGTTCAGAGAATAGAATTAGCAACAGAATAACCCAGGGGATTGTTTTAAAGATCTTAATTTTCTTCGCTAGTCATTTGAACACACTGGTGTTCTAAATGATTTTTCAGGGCTGGTCACTTGCCCTCCTACCATCTAGGGAAGAAAACACTGATCCATCCCCATGACAGGAGGTTACAGACCTCAGATGAAGAGATTAAATGAATCTAAAATAGAAATGCGTGCATGTGTATGTAGATGCCTGCATACAAGTGCACAGCAGTTAAAGTGACCACACGTGTGCACATGTTTCTGGGTAAGCAGAAGTCAAAATTATTCTACCAGTGCAACAAAAGCCAAAGGGAGAAGCCTGGAACTGGTACAACACCTCACCTTCGTTATGCACAGCTCCTTTTTCTCCAAAGGCAGCATCTCCTCCAGAACCACGAGGACCAAGCATCTGATAGTACAGAAGGCTAGAGACAATAGAAGAAGATGGTGAAGAGCATCTCTGTGTCTGACATACAGATTCACCTCACTAAGACCAGACACTGCAGGACTGCTATCCCAGTTCAAGCAGAAGGTGCCACTTCTCTAAATTAAAACATAGAGAAGAAGAGCAGGGCAGGTAATTCTTAAGAGTAGTACCCTTTGCAGAAGACACAACAGAGCTGTCATACACTATGCTGGAAGAGAGCTGGAGTACTATTGGGAAACACTGTGAACTTTCCATACAGTTAGAAACTGAATTTGTGCAGTGCTTGCAAGGAGTTCAGCACTGGGTATATCACACAGTAACTGCAATAGGACATGACTGTACTGCCAAGGTCCAAGCTCCTGATTATCCACCATGTTAAGGCAGCTCACCTTTCTTTAAGAAGGACATACTCTGGTGGGATGTGTGGCTCACCCAGGCTCCTCCATCGTGGCTTCCAGCTCCTCAGGGGACTAAGGACAGGGACAGTGGGCTGCAGCACAATAGCCAGGGTTGTCAGCAGCACAATTAGGAAGCCCAGAATGAAGAGCACCGCTGGGAAAGCCAAAATAGATAGCAAGAAGTGAGAAACACAGGAAGCAGTGTGCATCAAAGCATAGTCTCCCCTTACACTTCCACTCAGTGCTCTCCTTCCCACAGAAATCAGACATTTAACAACTTTCATCTTCATTACGTGGGCTTCTGCTCCTTCCCTCCTTGATCTGCTGCACGTGAGCAAGGACACAAAGCAGTTTCGGTGCATGCATCTGAAGGTGACAGAACCAAAGCTCATGCTTGCAAACCATTACACCAGTTCCACTATTCTGCTGTCCTCTGAGTGAAGGACAAGAGACTGGCATGGGCAGAGCACTTGCAGAGAGATAGGGCTTTGGGAAAAGACCTTAACCGCCCTTGTGGTTAGCCTTCAGTGAACTTTTAAATGATGCATTTAATTCCTGTTTAGTTTATCACGGAAACATACACTTTCTTCTTTCATGCCACGGGAAACAAAGTTCTCAATTACTTGAATTCTTCAAGCAGGGTGTGGGTAGAAATGTAACTGCTCCTTCTCTCCCCCCCTTTGGCTCCTACACAAGCAGGTTCTTGGCTCGAGAGCAGCAACCTTTGGAAAGGGAAACTCCACAGGGGAAATGGATTAAAAATGACAAAGACAGCGGTTTGATGGTATTTCTAAATAAATGCTGGTTTAAACACACCCAAGAAGGTACAACAAAGGCTATGGCTAAGCATCAGAGTTCAAGATATCACAGTATTTTGGCTGTACCTATAATGGAAGCCCAGTCAGGAGCCAAGTTCAGTTCCTGCTGCTTCAAAATCCCATGTCTGGCCAGCTGGAACAGAGAAGAGGGCTGGAAGGACACATCTCTGGGGTCACAGCCCACATTTGCTTCGTTCACAGTCACAATCAAGAAGTGCTCCTGAATGGTCCTATCCCTGAATACATATGTCCCAGACTCCAGGAAAACATGGGCAAACCTAGGAGGGAGAAGGAAGGCACCGACTGATGTCCTTCCCTGCTTACAGCAGGGATGACAGCTGAACACATGGACTTAAACACACCATACTTCTGCCATGCTATCCATTGCCAAGGACCTTGTGATTCTGTGGAAGACTTGCTCCCAAGTTCTACACCTAGCACACACACTATCAGTCACAGCAGATATTACCAGGAGATGTTGAGGTGAGTCTCCTGGATGAGGTGGTCCAGCCTTCGGAAGGGTCCATAATCCCAGCTAGGGTTGCTGTTATAAAGATGTTGCTTCTGATAAACAGGGTAGTGGCTGGATGCACGATCTGGGAACAGTTTGGCACAACGTCAGCAACTCTGACTCACTTCAGTTAGGACAGCTGATGCTGGCTTCAAATTGCATTTATTTTACAGAGCCCAACAGTGTCAACTCATTTATTTGAAGGGTGCATTACTCCCCAGCAAACACACTGCTCTTCTAACAGAGGAACTATATTATCTGTAGTCTACAGAAATCCAGCCAAAATGCAAAAAACATCAGATGAGTCACTGGCAGAGCCAGGCTAAAGATCATGAATCCCTTGAAGGCAAGGGTGACTGGGAGGTGAAGGAATGTGCTCGTACATGCAGTACTACCAGATGCACAGTCACTGCTCCAAACACGTCTGGACACATATACATATCAGCAAAGAGCATTTTATATTTTTATATATTTACCCACACAACACTCACTGTGAAAATTGATGCTAAGCTGGAAAAGGATTGTGTCTCCTGCTTCCAAACACACCACTGGGTTAGGGACAAGGGGCAAGGCATGGATATCTTTGAAGAAAGCCCTCTGGACTCGATGACCTTCCTGCACCAACTGAGCTGATGAAAAATCTCCTGCCACAGGCAACAGAAAAAAATAGTAAGTGAAGGAGCAGCATGTGAAAGCTCCTAACCCCTGGCAATGCAGAATTTTTTATTTTGTATCTGTAAGTGATTTGAGCTCACAAGGCCAAGTTCTATTTCTAAATGACATTACCACGCATTGGGAACAACTGGAATCAAGAGCAAGTACATGCAAACTGACAGATTAGCCACTGAAGGGGGTTTTCTTCTAGCTCCTTGGAAGGCCAAAATCATTTAATTTGACCTTTTTCCCTGAGTGCTAATATATAGCAGTGAGGGTCCCTGTGGTTTAGTCCCAGAAAAAAAGAGATCCCTCTCCACTTTGTAAAAAGTTTGGGCTGCCTGACACTGAATTCCCTTTGTGCCAAACTGCTGCCCACTTCTTGTGATGACTTGAAAGGAAGCTGACAGCTTAGCCTGGCTGGGAATTAGGCTCATCTCAAGGTGTTCTCAAGCCTTACCTGAGAGAAATGCATCCAGGACATCCATACTGGAGACAATGAAACCTAGCACTCCACTAGGATTAAACAGAACCAAATGCACCCTCTGGCTCTTCTGCACGTGTTCATCTGGGCCCAGAACATTTGTCACTTCCTATTGAAAACAGAAGGGAACACTGATCACTGGTACAAGCAACCCTGGACTCAAAACCTGCTCTGTAATCAACATTTACCATCAGCTGTGCAACACTGCTCTATGAGGCTTTTTGCCACAACTCAGGAACCATCATTTCTCATTAATGTGCCCACCTCCTGCCTGGTCAGTACTCTGGGTTATGAGATGTGGTAAGACTCTGTTCTTTCTCTCTGCTCACAGCTTTGTAACATCAGTCCCCAGGCTCCCTTTATCTAAATGCAATCTATAAGGGTTCTATCCCTTATAGATTCCATTTAATCTATATAGATTGCATGGAGGTGAGAGAGCAGTCCCCTTACCCACACGTACCCTGACTCCTTCGTCCACCCTCAGAAGCAGCTCTCTCTTGATGCCAAATCCCAAGGAGATCCGTGGGGCTCTCAGCAAACACATCTGGTCACAGAGCTCCTCAGCAGAGATGTACTGTTTGCAGTGACATCTGTACAGCAAAAAGGTTCTGATTACTTACAGTCCACAAGTAAACAGCTACAACATACTGAGGGTTATGCTAGCCTCAATCTCACTTACAATCCATTCAGTGAATGGGCTACTCTATATTCATGGTAAATAGGGTGGACCAAACTCACATTCCAGCTCATCCAGTACCATAGCTGCCTTTCAATGCTTCTCCCTTAACCTAAGGACCACACAACAGGCCAAAAGGTGATACACCACTCTCCTACAGAGCCTCTGTTGTTCTCTAATAGAGGTCAGTGTCAGAACTGGAGCAGAGTTATGCATTCTTCCCAGAGTTCTGTTTTCAGAAACTGGTTGGAAGTGACAATATAATGTTAATCCACTAGATTTCTGGGCTATCCACGTCAGGAAGAAGATAAAGAAGAGAAAAAAGAGAATGACAAACATTAGCTTCAATGCTTCTGTCAGCACAAAAAGGTGGGATTAGGATTCATTTCTGCTCTAAAACATGAAGGGGGCTCAACCTGAGGTATGTGGGAAAGGTCTCCTTCAGGGAACATGAGCTTTGTCCAGCCCTACCTTATCACTGTGTCCATTCTGCTGTCTCCACCCAAAAACCTCCAGGTAATTTTAAAAACACAGGTTGAGGAATGAGGCCAATGAACGAGGACTGAAGGCCAGTATTTCCACACAGAACAGCTCCAGCAAGGGAAAGTTTCTCAAAAGCACCTCCCAAAAAGTCCTACCCTGAAATGACCTCATGGGATCAGTAACTTAACCAGTCAGAACTAATTGTGAAGCGTTCCCTAATGAGCGGCTGCTGAGACTTACATGCCCAGCTCTGCATTAACCTCTCCACCTGCAGGCCCACAAGATGGAGAGCAGTCATATTGCTCAGGAAAAACACACCGGCGTGTAGATGCTAAACGGATCTCTCCAGGAGCACAGAGCTCGTCCACCTGGAAAACCAGCACATCCAATCTGTGTCACACAAGCCCAAGTGTTTCAGCAGAGAAGCAGCACCCCTAAAATTCTCCACTTGTCACTGACGCACAACATAACGGTAATGCAATGAGGGGACATTAAGTGGCAACTTGAAAAGCACTGAAAAGGATCAGGACAAGTTCACTTCTCATCCAAACTCCTCAACCAGCCCTAATGAAGAATTCCACATTGAAAACATGAAGGCTTAAATTCCTGCATCAGTCATCTGAGATGCTTTAGCTGCTCCCCATTGTCTTTGCATAGAAATATCTTTTGCCTCTGGCTCTGATTGAATTTAGCCTTGCAAGATTCCATGAAAGGAGACAAGTGACATTATATCACAAGGAAGGGCCATGCCTATCAAACAAAGCAGCCAAAGCACTTTCTTGTGTCTGCAGTGGTTCAGTGATCTGAGCTGCGATTGCTCACAGATGCTGAGGCAGTGCCCACAGCACTGAACTACCCTCACTCACATGTCACGCAACAACTTCATTTTGAAGCCAAGGTTTACCTGAGGTCGGCAGTCCTGATCACTGTTGCTGTCAGAGTTTTCCTTGCCTCGCTCATCATAGTAAATGTATCCTGCCTGGCAGATACAGGAGGCATCTGAGTGCTGGAAAGCCCGGTTCAGCCCATGGCAGGTACAGCTGGTAGCACCTGAGAGGAAGATGGATTTGGAGTGGAAATCAAGGTAGGGAATATAGCTGGCAAAACCTGTGCTCACAGTAAAGGAGCAGTGCCAGTGCTGAGTGCCCTGTAACCAAATCACACTGCTTGCAGTGGCACACCTGGAGTTTGCTTGCCCCCCATCACAGCAGAACTGAGCCAATCTACCTTTTGCCCTACCAACACAATCGTATGCCATTTTCAAAGTATTTATTTAGAAAGAAGGGCAGAAAGACCCATCTAGGAATTTGCAGCAGTGGCATTTTGATAAACCCTCTGCTAATTGATATGCTAAGCTACTGAATAGGATAAGGACTCAGTCAGTCAAGGCTGCTGAGCCCCTCTTTGCACTGGCTTTGTGCCTTAAAATCCACTTCACTTGAAATGCTGGAAGAGTACCACACTCTCCACTGTACTTAGCTTCTCACCCTCTCCTTTTCCAGTCTTTTCCTGCTTTATCAGTCTCAGCTGGACATGGTTACACTGCCCAGTTTTGTCTCAAAATCACAGCTGCACTTACAGCAAGTTCTGCAATTCAAGGCGAAAGCACTCCACTGCTTTCAAGGCAATGACAGAGCAAGAATTAGTGGGGCTGCTCATCTCTTCCTTCCTTTGAAAGAGTTGAGATCAAAACCCCTTGGCTGACAGAGTACAGGAGAACAAAATATAACTCCGAAAATGCAATCTTCCATCCTCTAAGCAGGACAGAAGAAGAGGTGGGTGCTGTTAGCACACACAGCATCATGAAGATCCCACGGCTCGCAGTCCATTGGGGAAGCATGTGAGAAAAATCACATCTGTAGGTAATTTTCTTGTTAGGCTCTCTCTTAACTGCAGGCAAAGCTTTGCTCAAAAAACAGCAACTCACCTACCTGGCTGTGATGAAGAGGAGCTGCCACAGGGAAAGCAGGCAGCTTGAGCAGGAAGGTGATTGAAGGTGCCAGCAGGACAGGCCTGACAATCCTCTATATGCTTGGCCAAGTTGTTGCTCCCACGGGTCCCCGGGGGACAGGGAAGAGGGGCAGATGCCAGGGGAGGGCAGTAATAACCAATGGGACAAGGCTTCTCGTGGTAAGTTTCACTGCCTAGAGAAGGTGGTGGGGCTGTCTCAGATACAGACACTGCTTATGGAACTGGGCAAATGTTATGACAGCAGAAAGTCGCTTATTTGTTTGAATTATACACATGCCTCTATAGATATACATGCAAATACACATAAACACATACACACAGATATGTAAAACTATCCAACATTCAGCAAGTTCCAAATTAACCTATTCGTATATAAACATCCAAATCCATTCCTCCCAGTTATTTGACTGGACAAATCCAGTGGCTCAAGCAGATAGACACGATCTCCCCCCATGCTTTACAGCACCAGATCACACATAACTGCACTTTACTGAGGAGCTCAATGAGTGGAGACCTTCAAATGCTTGTAAACAGATTCCTCCTACCTCCTAACCCAGCAGGGTCCACGCAACACCGGCTGTCACACAGCAAGGTTTGAACACCTACATTCACACTCCATCATATCAACTCCTGGCCTCGCAGCTGAGTCACAAAATTAGAGAAAACAGTGCTTGCGGGGGCCAAAGTCATCCCCCGAGAGAAAGAACAAGATCCAAACCATCTTTGATATATTTCTCTCACTTCTAAACAACCTACCAAAAGAAACGCTCCACCAACCAACATGACAACCCACATCAGGGATTTAAAACCGTAGAGGATTGAGAGCTTTGCCCACACAGAACTTTCTGGTTACCGCTGAAGTTATTTCTTGCACAACTTCTCCATAGCAGCCACATTTACCTTGTGGGCAGATGAAGCCTGCTGGGCAGGGCTGACAGGGAGCAGAGATGAAAGAGTCATTACGATAGCTGCCTGCATCACAGATTCTGCAGAACTTCTCAAAGGAATCCCTCGGCCCAGGCGAGCTGAGGGCCATGTATCCTCCTTCACAGGGCAGTGGGTGGGCACTGCCTGGGGGACAGTAATAGGGAAACACACATCTGGAAAAGGGAAGAAAAATCTCTGAAAACGTTCTGACTTCTGGGATCAGCCACCAGTGCAAAATTAAATATGATTCTCATCTGGCTCCAGGCTCAGGGTAACTGGTACAACTCATAACCCATCCTATGCAGCCTTAGCAGTCACCAGATCCATAGGTGTGATTATGGAGATACCTTTACTTTTGTACAACACACACAGACTGTGTTTAAAACAAGTCCCTCAAAGAGTTTAAAACAAATCACTCAAAGCTGGCTCCCCCAGCCACGTGAAGTACTCACAGCTGCTCAGGGTTATTGTATGTTGATGAGCCTTCAGGGCAGTAATACCCAGCAGGGCACACGGAGGGCACAGCTGTCTGAGCACTGCAGTATGAGCCAGGCCTGCAAGGCTTTGGACTGACTGAACCTGGTGAAAAAAGAAGAATCAGTGATTGATTTATGTGACATTCTCACAACAGGAGAGAACGTGCTGGGGGGAGTGTGATCAAGAGAGCTTTATTAAGTATTACTGTCCATAAAGACTCCACTTTTCCTGTTACTCACAGAAGGAGAAATAGAATCAATTTGCTGTTAAGCAAGAAATGCTAACACAGCTGAATATCTAGGGCCCGGATAACAAAAGATATCTGCTCCTTTTCTAGGCCCAGATCACCTCCTTCTGGAATCCCAGCTAAGCGAGAACAAGAAGGAAGGCCAGACAAAGAGGAGATGGGAATTCAAAGGCCAAAAGCCAGGAAAAGGCTCCAGGTTACTAAATCCACACTTCTAAAGCCACTCCACCAGGGGCCATTTCCACCAAGGGCTGCTGCAAGAGTGGGGCTCTAATCATTATGCCATCTATATGCCATGACACTGCCTGCTGTGCACTCTTCACTCATCTGGGCTTGAACAGCTAGAAATAGAATAAAACAACATATTATGTCACCTGCTGGGCATTCATAGCCAGGTTCACAAGGTACTCCTTGGGTGTTAGGCAGCCCTGTCTGTGCTGGGTCTGGGCAGTAGTAGCCAGCTGAGCAGGGATCACATTCTTCCAATGATTTTGCACCAGGATGTACCCTGGAAGTGCCAGGTGGACAAAAGAAAGCATCCCCTTGACCAGGACACCAGTATCCCAGTGGGCATGGATAATCCTCAAAACTGGTTAGACCTGTTAGGAAGAGAAGAAATGAAAAAAGAGAGGCTGAAAGGCCAGGAGGGGTTTTAGAGAAGAGCTGTAAGCACACTATGAATGTTACCTCTCCCTTTCTACATCATCTCAGGGAGTTTTGTAATCAACTCCAATGGTGGGAAAGCATTTGATTTCACCTGGTGCTCACCTGAGAGAGGGCAGTGATAGCCTGGAGGACATGGCTGGCAATCTGTCACACTCTGAGCTCCTGGAAGCTTGCGGTAAGTATGTGGAGGGCATTTCTGAGGTGCCAACAGACTGTCCTGGTCACTGCCATTACTTCCAAGGCAATAGTGTCCTGAAGGACATGGAGAAGCCTCTGAGTCTCCTAGAAAACAGAAAATTCAGCTTTAAGGAGCCACCTCTTCACTGTGGTTGCAATACCTTTTTTTCTTCTGCATCCTACCTGGGTCCTTCCTAAACCACTGTATGCAAGAGTATGATCTGCACCCACAATTCAAGAAACAAAGACAGTTCAAATCCCTCTTCTGGCAGGTGGAACACAGAGCTATTTGAAGACTAGCTTTGACTCCAGAATCACAGATAGCATGTCCCTGCTGATCCAAAGCACTGATCCAAAGTGCAGGGTCTGATACCAGAGTTAGTCTGAACAGAGTCAGGGATAAGCACAAAGAAACTCTCATTCCCTCCCCTCACTATTATCCCAGATTCCAACCTGCTTTGCACCAGTGGCCCGGTGGACAGGGCAGGCAGTCTTCCTTCTGTCCAGCCCCTGGAACATCTCTAATAGTATTGGCAGGACACGGTATAGGTAACTCAGAGCCTTCCAAGCAGTAGAAACCTGCAGAAATAGACAGGGAAGGGATGAAAGTAAAATACAGAAGCCTTCTACTGGGAAAAAAATGATTCAGCAAGCATCTCCTGTCACAGGATTAGCATCTGCACAGCTGTTGGGATTCTGTGCCTATTGACAGCCATATCAACAGCCTTCAGACATTTCTGGACCAGCAATCTGGCACCACAAATTTAAGGTAGCATATTTCATTGAGCAAACTCCTTTGGTTGAAAGATGTAAAAGCAGACGATGCCAATGAGTATGACAACCTCAAAGTGGGTATCATAATATATTATGCAAGACCACAGATGTTCTCTACTCAGTTAGAAGCAACTCTCTGCATACACTTAAGACACTTGCAAAGATTCTCACCTGCAGGACACAGCCCAGCACATGTCTGACCCCATTGGCACCCAGACAGAAAGCGCCAGGAAAAGCCAGGGCCCTGTGGAGTGGGCTGAGAGCTCCCAGCAAGGCAGAAGTATCCAGCAGCACATTTCCCCACTAGCTGTCCACGCCTGGAGCAGAGAGAACCAAAAGAATTTACATAAGACCTGCTGATAAAGATTTGGTGCAGAAGCAGAGCAGTGGTTACACTGATAAGAGAGATAAAAATAGACCCATTTTTTCCACTTAGAAAACCACAGATGACTGAAGCAAACCAAACAATTTTAAGTTCAAATTCCATGAACATGGGGGCAAATTGCTTTAGATAAAGTTGCAAACAACTTTCCACTGGGCTGAACTTTCTGGCTTATTTCCATGTTCTCACAACCACTGCCTACCTCCCTCCTTTAGATGCTGCTTTATAATGCCATGACAGTGTCAGATTGCTTTGCAATAGCTCTTCAAGTTCATAGCTCTGTAAGCAAAAGCTGTGTCTGGGGTTACACTTCTTTTCTCTGAGACAAAGATGGTAGACAAGCTGGGAAGAATTTAGTGTTGACTGATCAGCAAGGATGCTGAACTGCTTAGAGATAGTAGAAAAATGCCAGATAGAAATGAATGGTCATTACCTGCAGTAGTGACCAGGTAAGCAAGGCAGGCACTGCTTCTCATTCCAGAGGCCAGTCATATTTGGAGGAGTAAAGGTGCCTTCAGGACATGTCTGAGGAAACTGCGTGCCTGACAGGGAGAACACAGAAAATAAAAGATCCTAGGAAGACCTTATGATCTGACATGACCCTACACAACCATACCAGAGTAACAAATGCCTCCCAAGAAACAAGGCAGCACAACACAAGGTTTATTGCCAGCTCCTCATTCCTTGGCCTACAAAGATCACACTGTGTCTGTACAACTCTGGCACAACAATGAGGTGCACAAGGTTTGAGTCCTTGGCATAGGTGGTGTGCCAGTTTCAGCATACCTGTAGGACAGTAAGTATGTGGTGGGCAGCTCTTGGGGTCTCCAGCCACCAGCTCCTGGCAGTAGAACCCTCTCTGGCATGGAATGCAGGACGCAGAGCCCCTGGCTGGCTGGTACTCCCCAGCAGGGCATGGTGTTGGATGGGCTGCTCCTATCTGGCAGAAGTGACCCTGGCAATGATCAAAGATTCCATAAATTTAGGTTCTGTGTAAAGGGTGAACCCCAGCATTACCAAAGCAACATTCCCTGTGGATATAATCACCATTTCAATTAGGCCTGTAGGAAGCTTTATCACAGAGGAAAACACCTGCCCAGAGCTGACCCACTTCTTTCACTGCCCTGATGTCACTGAGCAGTACCTTAGGGCAAAGAAATGCTGTGGGGCTGAAGGAGCTGAAGTTTGCTGGGCAGTAAAATCCCTCAGTACAAGGTCCTGTTGGAGAACTCAAACCAACGCTAGCGCAGAAAGACCCAGGATAGCACGGCACACAGCTCTCTGGAGAGGTACCACCTAAAAACAAAAACAACTCAAAGTCAGTGACAGAAAACACAGAAGCATCCTTACGTCAGTCACACACCTATATGCACTGATAACACACAGACATGGCTCAGCCTTGGCTGAGCATACAATTATCTTTCAGCGACCAAGGGAAAACCCATCACCTTGGCAAAGCCCCCCACTGCTGTGGACTACAAGAGAAACCTGTTGGTGAAGTCACACCTGTGCTGTTGTTCAGGGTCCCAACTGGGCAGGCAACTGGGAAAGGAGTGCCCTCAGGACAATAATGTCCAAGAGGACAGGGCCCACTGAGAGGGAACGTTGGTGTCCCACGTGGAACTGCATCAGTGGCTCCTCCTTCACAATAGTACCCAGCTGAACACAGGCCTGCCAGGGGAGAGCAGAGAAAGTAATGAAATGGTCATTGGAAAGGATGAAAGCATCTCCTTAAAACCCCAGAAGTAGGAGAGAAGCTGAATCCCATCCTGGGCTCATTTTACAGCTCTGATATCCTGCACTGTTCACCTTTGGTTTGCTTCTCCTCCCCCCCAGCATATGTCCTCCATCATCTCCCTTTCTTACATGCACTGACCTCATCCGGCATTTTAATTTATTTTTCTTAAACTATTCCTAAGACTCAAACTTGTTCACAGATTCTGTGGATAGGCTTCTTTCCATGAAAAGAGTTCTGCCTTTCTTCTGCTCACATGCCTAACTTTTGCATTTTAGTCAAGCAACAGTTACTCTTACAAACATGAGGAATAGGGTTGGGGAGGTATTTAAATGGAGAGAAAGAAGAGCTCCCAAATCAAACTCACCATCAGGCTCCCAGTTAGCATCTCCTCTGCAGTACCTCCCCACTGGACACAGCTTGCAAGCAGTGGGGGCCAATGCCCCCTCCATGGTATTCAGTGTCCCTTCAGGGCATGGCAGGGGAGCAGCAGTCCTAGCTGGACAATAGTAACCTGTACAGTGAGAGGTGAATGAGGCACTGCTCAGAAAAGAAAGGAAGAACAAGCAGGAATGCTGATCCTGCTCTATCCAACTGCAAACATCCCATTCCCATACTGCTGTGGTCAGACAGAAAGAGGTGTGCAGGCACCCAGTCACACTTCTGATTGCATGCCAGTGGTTTTGTGGCACATATTATTGCTTACCTCTGGGGCAGCTGAGAGGCTCTGCAGTGGCTGCATGGCTGCAGGCCATACCAGCTGGACAAGGGAGGCATGTACTTGCCCCAGGCATAGGGCTGAAGGTGCCAGGCTCACAGGGCAGTTCTAGTCCAGTGCCAGCAGGACAATAGAAGCCACTAGGACATCTGTATCCATAAACCCCATCAGAAGGGCAGGGAGCAGAGCTTCCTTCCAAACAAACGTACCTATAAGAAGAGAATTCTGTGCTGGAACTATGAGCCCACAGCCCTGCTCAGAAACAAAAGATGGGGGGAGTACTAACAAAAGGTCACCAAGTTAAGAAACGCTCCTTAAAGATGTGATTCATTTCAGTTGGGCTAACAATTGCTCCTCCCATGCCCTAACCTAGCAATTTAATATCCATGTGTAAATCCTTGTAGAATCCTTTTTTTTTTTTCTTCTTCCCCATCCCTCTCTAAGCTGTCTGGAAGGTATTCTCATCATTCTGATAAAAAGTAGTCTTTGAAAACTTAAGTTTTTTGTTTACTTCAAAGCACAAAGTCCAAATGTTCAGTTCCTGCTGTTTTGGCTTAGTTTCCTTTCATCTTCAATATTCTCATTGGCCTCTGCATTAACATCACCTATTTCTATGTTACTTCTCCCTTTACCACTCCCCTCAAGAAAGATGAGGAAATACAAAAAAAAAAATCATTATTTTTGAAAACTAAGCAGGAAAAAATTGAAAGCCACGATCTCACTGCATCCCATGGATGCAGCTTCTAGAGAAGAAGCAATTCGTAGTCCTTAAGGCAACGACTGCTAAAAGGAGCAGCATCAAGCAAAAGGACAGCAAAGCTGCCTGTCAGCATTTGTTTACTCAGAAGCAAGGCCTACTATACTGAGCAGGTTGTGATTTTCTCCAGCAGATTCAAGAGCTGTTAGCTATCAGAAATCTTTTCCTACTAAATCCTGTTACGTGCACTGCAGTGAGATCACTTCTAAGCTTTCCTTTCACAGATTAAAAGGAACTGAGCTTCCGTGGCCTTTTGCTACAAGGCACACACTCATGAGATGGGCAAATAGTGCTGACATCACTTTGCTGTTTGGCTGATGCAGGCCAGCACTGCTTCCTTGTCACTGCTTATTGCACCACCTGGTGGGAGCAGAGAGAAAACAGAATGGAAAAAGGATGCAAAGTCACAGCAAGCACGTTTATAGTAAATAAAGGGTTTGTAATTAATTAAACCTACAGGAAAAGGATGTGTAGAAGGCTGGGGCAGAATGTGAGGCAAACAAATAGGGAGAACTGGCTCTGAAGCACATGCCAGGACCACCGAGCAGATGCTGTATAGCAGCATGTAACCTAGAGAGCTCAGAGCAAACTCTCTGCAGTTTAGTTATTTTTGATTGTAAATATTTGCACACAAGGGACTGGGCAAGATATATTCAGGCCCAGTGTTTAGTTTGGATGCCCCTCTGCTCCAGCCTACACAGCAATCCTCCCAGCTGTATTTTCCCACTAACAAGTGACGGTCTCACCGCACCCTGCGTTACACAGCGACGTCTGAGCCAGATCAAACAATCCTGCCCTGCTGCAATATCGGCCAGCAGGGCAGGGCTGGCACTGCTCTTCTGCCTGCAGGCCCCTGACAGCAGAGAAGGAGCCAGGAGGGCAAGGCATGGGATTCTCGGTTCCGTTGGGGCAGAAATGACCTGCAGGACAGATATCATTACCAGGCAACACAGGGCCAGCAAATTCCACCTGCATGAGGAAAAAGAAACAAAGAGAAACAGAGGAGAAAAAAAATGTTATCGAAACAAGATTTGGCCCCAAATACTACAGAGACAGGTTCTGGAAAGGGTACATATAGGCTGAACTCTTTCAAGTTTTCTGCCATTGAAACTAAATGCAGACCACAGCTGGCACAAAAAGGGCACTGGAAGTGCTGGTTGCTGGGCCACAGCTACCCAGTCACTGCTCTCATTGTGGAATAGACCTGAGACAGGCACGCTCCAGTGATATCTACAGAAATGCTCTGGCCATCACTTGCTAGCACGCTGCAAGATATTCCAGCAGACATTAAGAGCAGCACGTCAGTCCATCTGAGCAGCTACCAAGGGCAGCAGCAGTGTGAAAGAGCAACAAGCAGTAAAACTTGGAAAATATGACACCAGAAGCCATGGCACTGTGAGAGTCCCAGTCCTTGTCCCCAGGATGCAAGGTTAACTCTGCTGTTTGCCAGTGCTCACTCACCCTGTTTTTGAAAGGGGTTGGGCTGATGGCTCCCTTGGCACAATGGTAACCTGAATAGCAAAATCCAGAAGGCTGTGAAAGACCTGGTGCTGAGCAATACATGCCTAAAACAAACAGGAAAGTGATCTCACTGAAATGGCCAGCATAGAAGATAAGTGAAGGAGTCAATAACCTGAAAGAAGTCATATTTTTCTCAACCTTTCCATGTATGCCCTCAGGTTTTTTTTTGTGCCAAGACCCTGCTTACCTGCTGGGCAGGGTTCACAGTCAGAGTTGCTGGTGGCACCAGTCCTGGGGCCAAAGGTACCCTTTGGACATGGATGCTCTGTACTGAAGTTGGTACCTGGCAGACAGAAGTACCCAGCAGGGCACAGCTCAGGAGTGTGTGCTCCAAAACCTAGGATACAAAAAGTAGCATCTTGCTCGGGAAACATTATAAGACACGACAAGCAATGTCATTCTCCATCAACATATTCAAGCTAAACCCAGGACGTGGGCTTCACTGTGTACTTCTGATGCAGTTGTTCAGAATCGTGTTGCAGTAGCTGGAGAGAAACAGCACTTCCAGGGGAACTGCGCTTCAAGTGCAATTCATCTCATCCTAAGGCAGACAAGTAAAATAAGAGAGACAAATTGCAGCCCTGAAGTGCCTCTCGCCACTGACTACAGGAGTACAAAAGCTAGCTCAGGTACAGATGTCTAACAAAGGAGCTGTCTGAAGTTTTATTCGAGTAATCCCATCTAGGGAACAGAATCACGTCTGTGCAGCTGTATTTCTTGTGGGGTTTTCTGTAGCATGCACGAGCTGCTAGACAGGAATAGCTCCCTTGTATTTTTCTGGGCATTAAGTTTCTTCGCCCTAAAGAGGAGAACGATTTGGCTTCTGCTTACTCCTTCAACAACTTCATAGTTGTAGAAGCCTGTTTTGGCTTCCACTCTTGGCAGATACTGATGCTTCCGTTTGCCTAGTCCCATCCAACACCGACTTAGCACAATCTTAACAGAAACAAGGAAGCAGTGGCATTCAAAATCCTTTTTGTCTTGCTAAGGCTCAGCAAGACTCATCTCTCAGTGACAAAAAAATCAATTTTTATCACAATACACAGCCCTACTTTTGCTAGACTCCCTAAATCCCTCTCCTCCCATGACTGATAGGTCCCATTCTCACAGGGCATAGGAAAGGCAGCTCCTTTGGGACAGTGCAGCCTCATGGGCAGCACCAGCAAGTGGGAGTAGCTGAAGTCTGGCCAGGCAGGCAGCAGTACCTGCAGAACATGCTCCTTTGGAAGTGATTTTGCCCAGTCCTGCAACTTTGAAAGCACAGCCTTTCCCTTTCCTTTCTCAGATTAAAGACAAAAGAAAACCCTTATCACCAGAAAGCACAGCCCCCTTCATCATTCACCTGTCACCAATATCAGAAAGAATGTGTTCCCCAAAGTTCAGCCTCAGACAAAGAACATCTCAGTACAAAGGAAATGCAATTTTGAATTATATGCATGTAGGAAACGTGGGCTTCCACGTGCAATTGTACTTTTGGAAATCTTGCTTGTGGTTCCAGCTCTGCTACAAACCCACGTGAGTTAAGTTTTTCCCTCTCTCCCAGTTTCCCACCTGAGAAAGGAAAAGCTTCTCCGTCCTATGGATGGGGCAGGTGAATCTGTTACCACCAGTGTGACCTCAAATACTTCAGCTTTGGGGGAGTAAACATATATACTGCACAAACAGATTGTGAGAACCTCTGAGCAGCTGTCTTAGAGCAGAGACTCTGGCTGAGAGCTGCACCAAGTAGCTGTATGCCAGGCTGTTCTGTTTCCCAGATAGGCTGAATTCCTGTAAGACATCTACAAAAGGTGTCAGAGCCAAGGAACAAAGATGATACAGAATAGTAAGTGGTGTTCTGGGTGCTAAGAAAAACCCCACAGAAATGCTGGAAGTGAAATAACATGGGGTGTTTATACTTGGTGAATGTTATACGAGTTGGATGGAATAAAGCTGGAGAATGCACCTACCTCGCCCTGCTTTACACTGTGCAAATCCCAGTTCTCAAATACATCAGCACTCACCACTGCAGAAATACCCAGCTGGGCAGAGCTGACAGTCTGCTGGCTGCCACTTTCCTCTCTCAGAGTTGAAGTAACCAGGGCTGCAAGGAACTGGGGATTCAGAACCCTCAGGACAGTAAAAGCCAGGGGGACACAGCTTATGGTCTGGCCGTGTGGATTCACCATCACAAAAATAGCCAGCAGAACATGATCCTGCAGAAAGAAAAGCTGTGTCAGGGTTGAGCACCCAGAAAGCATTAAAATACCCACATAAAAGATGTTCAATCCAGTCAATACACACCAGAAACGCTTATCAAGCCCTCTCCTTGGCAGAACTTCCCTCCTGGGCAGGGCAGACAGGCATTATGGTAAGCCATCCCATGCTGTGGCAAAAACATGCCAGAGGGACACGGCTGTGGCTCGTTGCTGCCTGCTGGGCAGTAATGGCCTGCTGGGCAAAGGCCACCAGTGGCATCATTGGCAGGATTGGGTACCTTTGCCTTTAAAGTGCAGTAATACCCAGGCAAACAAGGACCACTCGGAGAAACAAGTCCTAAAGAGAAGGAATATAAAGTCAAATAAGCTACCGTGTTACATAATTCACAGCTTCTGGACTAAACAAAGCAGACAAGCCTTGTCAGCACAATGAATTCAGAGCCTACTGACTTGCGGTTACATTTGTTATCTAAAAGCTACATCTACAGGCTCCACATTTTCTCACACTACCAGATAGCTAAAGGCCTAAACAGTCTAGATCACCTTACAGAAGATGCTGACCAAGACTGTGCAGCTATTCAATAATCTTTTCCAAAAAATCCACCTTAATCCACCTCTTTAAACTTGCAAAAGATAGATTTGCAGAGATCTTTGTAATGACTATAAACAATTACTACTCAACAGGTCCCAGAGATGATTGCAAACACTCCTTAAAAGTGATTGATATGAACTGCATACAGATGAAAACTTCATCTATGAGTGGAACTTAAATTTAGATCTAACACAGCCTAAGAAACGTATTTAATCCAAATGTGGTCCTTACCTGCACTGGCACAAAACATGCCTCTGGGACAAGGCAAGCACTCCCTAGGGTTTCTCAGTCCAGTTTTGTTACTGTAAGTCCCTGCTGGGCACGGGTACTGATTGCCAGCTTTTGTGCCCAGGAGGCAGTAATATCCTGCTGGACAGACCATTGGTTTCATCACTCCACGTGAGTTGTTATGGAGACTGGATGGATGGTCTTCAAGGGCACAGAACCTAAAAAAGAAGGGAGAGCATGGACTGAGGCAGTACTTTCGTTCTAAGGGACTAAGAAACACTTTCTACATAATACTGATAGTCAGAGGTGATGAGACAAGGAAAGCAAATTACTTGAAATGATACACAGAGCTGAGATGGAACCTGTCAGGAACACTCTGTCTCTCCCAGCAGATTCAGCTACGAGGATGGATCTTCTGTAACACAGGTTGCAGTACAGAAAACGCCATAATAAAGGGAAAGGTAATACAAAAACAGGAAGAAAAAACCCAGCCATGTGTATCAAAAGAAACAACACAGTGCAGCTGCCTAAGGCAGATGGAAATACACATGCGAATTCACAAGGAAAGCATCAAAATGAAGCAGCAGATCCATTTCACTTACATTCCTGCTGGGCACATTTCACACTGGCTTTTACCAGCCTGGTCCTGGTATTTTCCAGAGGGGCAGGGTATGGGCTCAGGGCTGCCAGTGGGGCAATAGTGACCCACAGGACATAAATAATCTAGAGGAAAAATAAAGAAGTAATACTTATATAATTGCTTTGCTCATGACCAGTGTCATTGGAAGAACCATCACCACAAACCTTAAATCTTCCAGTTCTAGATTTTGCACGTATTCAGATGGAACTGCCAGTGTTTTATGCACAGAATTGTAAGGGCTGGAAGGGAGCTGTGCCTGTTGCCTTGCTGGGCACCACCAAAAAGGGCATGGAAAAAAAGACTTACAAAGATCAGCTCCTTGCCCTGTGTTAAAAGCTTTGCTAAACACAGATCTGAGCAGTGGAAGCAATGCACTCTGAGCACCACCATCACATATCACCAAAGCAGGCTTTTAACCAAACAGCTCTGCAGACTTGTTGCCCTCCAAAGCTTTTAGAAAGCTCAATTGGTTGCAGCCTCACTGTTGCTTTTCACAGAGCTGTCTGAATGCTCCTGACACAACAGGTTTGAGTTAGCATGTATCCCCACATCACCCTTACCTAATGGAGGACAGATATTCTCACATCACGTTCTCACTTACCAGCTGAAAGCTGAAAACACAATAAGGAATAGACACCTCTTAAGATATTTATTCAGCTCGTTTTTTGCTGTAGTAAAATTCCAGTAAACGATGTCCATCCTCCTCTTATAGTTACCCACTACTTCAACTGCATTACTTGGAAAACATTTTCTAGAAATCTAAACAGCCAGAAATTTATAAAACTAACTTCCAGCCCTGTGGGATGCAGATTTTAAGGCCATCTTCCTATTGCAACTCCTGTAGATGAAGAAGGACCTCCAAGATTTCCTACCTGAATGCTGCCCAGATGCAGAGCCCTCTGGGCAGAACCACCCCTCCTTACACAGACCTTCTGGGGAGCTCTGACCACACTCAGAACAGAACCACCCTGGGAAGCAGGCCTGGCAGTCCTGTGCTGACTGGCCACCACGATGAGCCAGAAAGGAGCCTGAAAGACAGCGAAAGCACATGTTCCCATCATCCTCAACACTGCTGGAAGTGGATATGGAGAGAAATACAAAGTCTTCACAGAGTAACTGGTGCACAGCTGTTAGTAGGTGGCAGTACTGCAGTGAGGGAGGTCTGTGGGAGGCTGGTTATGGGTGCTGGCTGAGGTTAATTCCTATTTTTTCCTGGTCTAGACTGAGCAATACAATCACTTGTTCAACTGTAGATTTTACCCAGGAAAGAAATGATCATCTAAAAGCCTTTCTCATTCAACTTAATCGGTAGAATCATTAATGGCAATGTTAAAGGATGGCTCTGACTGCACAGAGGGCAGCAGAGACTCTTACATGTGCACAGCTCACCACTGCTGTGTGACCTTTCTTTCAGGAATGCTCAGCAAAGAGCATCCCCCCGACAGCTGCACAGCAGCATCTATACCACAGACTGAGGCTCCAGAGGCAGTTGTGCAATTACTGTCTGAATTTAGGACTGATGCTTCCAATACAACAGCAGCAGATTAGCAGCTAAGATTTCATGCTGACAGCAGCTGCCCCTTGGGGAGCATAAAGGCACGCTTCAGTGCAAAATAACAAGGGGCTGCAAAACAATGGCACAGACTCAGATGAGCTCAGCAGCTCACTTGGCACTGGTAAGAGAAATGATGGCATGCAGCAGCTGCTGTCAAACCTACCTCGGGGACAAGGAGATGGAGAAGAACTCCCTGCAGGACAGAAGTGGCCTTGAGGACAAATGTTCCCCACTGCTCCATCCATGGGGTTTGGCAGCACGGAGCCCCCTGTGCAGTAGAAGCCAGCCTCACAGGGACCTGATGGAGCTGACAGCTCTGCAGTTGCACAGAACATACCTGATGCAGGGGACAGAAGCAAAACCCTCCATCTGAGAGACATGAAAATGTAAATACAAACAGCACAAGACTGGGATTGCCTCGTGAGCATGGCAGAACTGAAGACAGCACTACAAAATAAAGCAATTTGTGCAGGGAGAAAGATGCTTTTCCTACCTGGAGTGCAGGGAATAGGAAGAAATGAACCAACAGGACAAAAGGATCCTGCTTGACACTGCCCAAAAGATCCAGAAGTTGGAGCTGCTGTGCCCACTGATGGAAAGAACAGACACTGAGCTGAAGCAGAAAAATTGCAAGGGGTCTATCTTACCTAAAGAGCTAAGAACAGAACTAGAGCACTCAATTAAAGAAAGCAGCAAGGGAAAGCAAGCCATCTGAGTCTTCTAGGTGACTCCACACCACCACTGCGACAATAATAATAATCATTACACTTTATTATACCTGAGTGATTTCCAGGAAACATTGGCTTGCTTGACATGGATCCAGGTGGACAAAACCATCCAGGCATGCACAGTCCATCTGGTCTTGCTAAGCCTGGCTTGGAACAGACCCTTCCAGGAGGACACAGCTGGCACTTGGAAGCATCCCAGATATTTAAAGCATCACTGTATGTTCCAGGAGGACAAGGATACTGAGTGGCAAATTTGGTATTTCTGGGGCAGTAGTGACCTAGGAGAGAAGAGGCAGGTTTCAAAAAGGTCAGCACATGCTGGTAACAGCCTGAGAAGAACCTCCCAGCCTGTGCACACAGAATTCTCTTCATCTGTTTCTGAGGAAGACTGGAGCCAAGCTATGACATTGGGCCTATCTTGCAATTAGTCACAACTGGATGACATCTTTATCACATCAGCAACATAAAATGAAGTTGATCAGAGTTGAGGATTAGCAATACTTCTAAACAGCAACCATTTTTATAATAAGACCTCCAATATGTTATAAAAGTCTCTGTAGTCTCTGTCTACTCAGACAAGGGAACTGAATCACAAAGAGGTTAAGTGCTTTGACCAAGGTCCAGGAGAAGAGACTTGTGATTCACGCAACACAGTCCAATGTTGAATCCACTTCAAACAGCTTTAAGAGCATCTGCTAATCCTTATAAGTTCCCAGAACAAGTAAGTAGGTACCATCAGACCCACCTGCAGGGCAATCCGTGTAGTTTGTGGAAGCAGTCCCACAGTAAAAACCTTCTGGGCACTCCAAACACTGCACCATGCTCCAGGATGGGCTGTAACTCCCTGCAGGGCAAGGCTGGGCTCTGCTGCTCCCTGCTACACAGTAATGTCCAGGTGGACACGGTCCTCCACTGACTGTTATCTTTGAGGAACAACACCACTGTTACACAAAGTCCTTCCACACAGTTCACAAACACAGAGGGCAGCCTCACAAAAAGGATGGTCAGATTCTTATGGTGAAGAGCACTAGACACGCAGCATGGGAGACTGCATTCATCACTTAGTCATTTTTCAGGCTGCACACATCCTTTTCCAAGCTAAGAGATCAGAACCCTGCACATAACAGGTCCTATTGGGCAGGCTGTGTGGAAGCAGGCATCACCTTTTCCTCCTCATCTGTGTTCTCAGAGAGCTGCTGCATAAACCCACTGTCTCATTATGATCTGCAGGAGTTTTATGTATTCTGCCTAGGAGGAGGGCTGACAGATGCAATATTCTATTCTAACCCGTGCACTAATGACCTCTAATTTTTATGTGATATGGCATTCTGCTCTGTTTTGCAGCACCAACATGCAAAGATAGAGATGTTTTTGGTCAGGTGCATTTAGCCATTCCTAGCCCCTCTCACTATCAATAAACCAGTAACTCAGAGTTTGAGCTGGGGCAAAAGAAATACAGTAACCTAATGGTGTTCAGTTCAGATACCATGTTTGCCATATTTACATCACAAGAACAACTTACCCTGGGAGGTTTAGGAGAAATGGCTCCTCCACTGCAGTAGAATCCACCTTCACATAATCCAGTTGGAGATAAAAGTCCAGTCCCACTGCAGAAATACCCTGAAGGAGGGACCACAATAGCACCATAATGACATCAGTCAAACAAGACAGATGGGAAAATATAAATGGGACCAAAAAATCACTCAACCATCATGTTTGATATCAGCCACATCTATTCTCCTGAAGACGTTTTTACTGAGAACAGCTGCAGCACAGAGCTTATAGGTCTGAACAAACAGCACTATGCATTATCTCTGAGTATGAAAACTTTGAGAGAAAAGGTGAAAAGTGAAGATCATAGCACAGAAATAAGCACCTCACTGTTTTAGTACACTCTTACATGGGTAAGTGGTAGATGTCATCTGTGCTTTACTTCATATCTCTCTCCAGGAAAACAGATGTGCATGATCACCTGCTCCAGAACCACAAAGTTTCTCAGGAGCCCTAAAAATGCTGGTGTTTGGCTGGAATCTCCTTAGTCCTTTCTCTCAGTACTGTACCTGCATCACACGGAAGGCAGTCCTCAATCCCAGTATTCCCAGTTGAGTTGCTATAATAACCAGGAGGACATGGCTGTGGAAAGGCAGCACCCATAGGGCAGTAAGTTCCCTTTGGGCACACGTCCCCCAGAAGACCATCTGTGGGTGTTGGATTAGAAGAGCCTCCAATGCAGTAGAACCCAGCCAGACAGGGCCCTGTAACACGTGCCTGCCCTGTGAGTGCACAGTAGTGCCCTGAGAAAGCAATGCAGAGCCATTAGTACTGGGAGAAAACAATGTAAAAACATGTCAGAGGACAAGCTGCAAACGTGTAAATACGTGCAATGAAGTGCAAAAAGATTTCTCTTGATTTGGGCAAACAACCACCAGCAGATGATGTCTAGCGACAGCAGGTTTAATGAAATTAAATTATTAATCTAAGTTATTCATCTAGGCTCATGATGTGATTCATACCATCATCAGATCTCTATACTAGAAGAATAATCTGACCTCTCTCCCCTCCCCTGACAAGGCAGTCTAGCTGAAGGGCTTTGCTGAACTTCCCAACCTGAAGGTGGTACAAATCTCATGCCAACATCATGTTTGCATTGAACAATGCAGTGCTGCATACAAACACTGGCTCAAGATCTGGAGACAGTATAATCAATTAAAATAATCTTTAATTTAAGCTAATTCTAAGTAGGACACAATGTAATAGCTATACTGCTTCTGATTCTCATCTCAGTTGAGTACCTGTGCTCAGTGTGAAATGTTGCCTTCTAAGTTTCTTTCATAAAGATGTATTTCTTTCTCAAGTTTATGAAGCACTCCATGAGGTATCTGTGACAGATGTGTGACAGCATGGAGATGACAATCTCCCAGACTAATATCTTCTCCCACATTCTTCCATATCACATCTCTTAAGGTACATTTCAGAGCCAAGAAGTAACACTTCCTCTGAAGTGCTTGAGTCCAATCAAAGAGCCTTGCCTACTGCTTACAAGTCCTGTTCAGGATTCAGCTTTAGCAGCCCTTAGACCAACAATAATATAATACTGAATAACTGCTTGTCTTCATTTCTATATGACATACTGGGCATGAGACACTGCAGCCTGTTATTCATCTACTGAAACGTGCAAATGCTACTGCTGAACCTCAACAATGTTCAAAATGAGATACTTTTATTTGCCACTTACCTCGCTCACAGGGGATACAGTGAGACACCAGGCTGCTCCCATTTTGTGGGTTATAAGTGCCTTGAGGACATGGAAACTGAGTGGCAGAAGCAGTGCTGGTAGGGCAATAGTGGCCAGCTGAACATTCATTCTCCAAAAAGGAAGAGGAATTTTTGGGACAGAAGAACCTGGTTGAAAGACAGAAGAAAAGGGACAATGGGAAGAAGAAATCTAGCAATATTCTATCCACAAATACCCAAATAATGACTTAATGGTGATAATAGCCAATCTAATGTGGCTGCTGCACTGTGCTGTATTGACCACAAAAAACAACCTCATGCGTATTACTACATTCTTACTTGTTTCCTCATACACCAAATTGACGGCATAATTGCAAAAGCCACAGAGACATAATTTTCTTAACTTGAGTCATAACACATCCAGGCTGTGAATCATCAGCTTGTAACAGTTAATCAAGGTCAAATCCAGTTAGTAATTGGAGATGAATCCCCTAAGGACATGCCAGTCTCAGCATCAGGTTGATACACAAGACTCTCTTTCCCTACATCAGGGCTATGCCAGCCTGTTGCCAAGGGAACAGTTGCCACCTCTTACTGCAAGACATGAAAGAAGTTAATTCCAATGGTTTCCTTAACAGATCTCTTATCTAAGTTCCCTTCCAGGCCAGTTGTACGTGGATTTAGGACTTTGCTTGGTCCCATCATCAATTATACAGTTTAACCAACACAGCTGGTTAACTTGCCCTGCTTCCTGACATGTGCCCACTGCACACTGCCAAGGTGACTGGATAAACCATTACTTCCAGTAGTTCTTTATTCCTACATACAACAGTAATGTCACACTCTTACCCTTGGGGACAAGGAAGACAGCTGGCTTGCCTTTGCGAGGGGTTATACGATCCTGCTGGACAAGCCAGTGGAAGAGCTGTGCCCTTGGGACAGAAATGCCCTGGGAAAAAAAAAGAATTGATCAGAATTAGCAGACTCTGAAAAAACTACAGAAAAAAATCAGGCCCAACAGGGAAACCCTAACTTACCTTGGGGACATGGCTCTGGTTGCTCACCAGGGACACAGTATTCACCCTCTGGGCAAGCATGGCACTCCTCTCCATGGGTCTGTGGCATGTAGGAGCCAGCAGGACACGGTTCTGGACTCCTGGATCCAAGAGGGCAAAAGTGACCCAAGGGACACGGAGCTCCTGAGAGTCCATCAGTGGGTGTTGGGGTCTGGGCCCTACTGACACAATAATACCTGCAGCAGCAAATACAGGAACACAGTCTCATTGTTTCAAGAGGGTTAAGACGACCTTTTGTAGAACATCTCTCCTTCCAGACTACACAAATGTGTTCAATCTTCTCCTTACCCTGGGCTGCAGTGTCCTGTGGGTGCCCTCTGTCCAGAGCTGTTGCAATAGTGCCCTCCAGGACAAGGCTGGCAGTCCTGCAAACTCCTCCTGCCTTCACTGCCAGACCAGGTGCCAGGAGGGCACTTTAAAGGATGTGGTGCACCTGGCAAAACAAGTTACACCAGAGAGAAGAAATGTCACTTCATATGTTATATAGAAAATGAAAAGCTATGCTTCAGTGAAGCATGTTACCTTCTGGACAGTAATGACCAGGAGGACAAGGAAATCCTGATTCTCCATCTTGAGGATTTCTTACCCGGGCACCAATTCTGCACCAAAATCCCTCAGCACAGTCTCCTAGAAAACAGAATGATACACAAAAAGCACACAAATAGGTGCGTAAATATAAATTTCTGAATACAGATTGGAATACAGGCCATGACAAGGTGCTTCATCCCTGCATACTCCACAAATTAATGATGAAATAATGGCCAAGAAGGGGAGAAGCTGTTTCTAATTGGATGGAGTGCAGAACTGGTAACAGATGACAAACTGACAGTTCCTACACAGAAGCACTTAGCTCAGACCAAGCACTGCCTCTGTGTTTGGGCAAATACTTCAGCACACATTTTGAGTTCTGCAGTACCACTCTCCATTCCTGCACAGAAAAAGAGAGATTTTTTCTTCTCAGAAAGTTCTCAACAAGTAATAGCTCATCTTAGCAGAGAAAAGAACCCTACTGTCCTTACTTCAATCTCTGGCAGCAGCCAACAGCTGTCAGCAGGACTCCAGTGGTTGTGAACATATGCAGAACAGCACTATACCTGTGGGGGCAGCAAGTCCAGACAATTCACAGTATTTTCCTGGTGGGCAGCTTTGACATTCTTTGACGGTTTTCAGTTTTTGCCTTGGGCCAAACGTTCCCACTGGACAGCTGTACTGAGTGCTCCTCTTTGTCCCTGGTGGGCAGTAAAAGCCTTGAGGGCAGGGGTAAAGGGTAACATCAGTAACTGGCCTTTGCTGGTTGTCGCAGTAATAGCCTGCAGAGAAGACAAAGGGAAAAGACAAATTAGTCACTGAGATGTACTAGGAATGAGCTGCTGCTCCTTGGAAGTGAAGGCTCCTATGCCCAGAAGCACCTTACTGGCCACTCGAGAAATAAATCTATTGCTGACCTTAATTTACTATTGATCAGAACCACAACCGTGCTGGGACAAATCCACATCAAAGCATTCCCAGTTGTGGTGCTCATAAGAAGGATATTTAACATCTAGCCATCTTCAAAACACAGGACAAAAGCTATGGGTGCTATGGGGAAACATGCAGGGATGCAGCATTGAGCTCTGCTTCCTTCCAGCTACTGAAACTTGTCAAGGATTTCTTTCCCACTGGCTATTAGAGTTTTCCCTTGATTGTATTTCAGCTGTTCAGACAAAATACAGAGAAATCACCGCTTCTGCTTTTATGTCAGAGTTTCCTGAACCTCTAACAGCCTTTTCACACAGAGCCAGAAATTCTTCTCTGGTCAAGAGAAGAAAACCAGGCAGCGAGTTTCCAAACTTTCACCCATAAGAAAGCTCAAGAGCCAGAAACAGGCAGGCAATTCCTGTACAAAGGGTGCAGAGCAGTCAATAATTCCCTCACCTTCCCAGCACTCTCCAGTGGGGGCACTGAGACCAGGACCCTCACAGTAGAAGCCAGAGGGACAAGGCTGGCACTCAGAAAGTGTTCTCCTCCCTGGCAGGCTGGAAAAGGTGCCAGCTGGGCACAGCTTGGGTTCTGCTGACCCTGCAGCTGTGAGAAGAGAAACAAGGCAGAAAGAAACGAATAGTGAAAGAACAAATATTGTTGCATTTGGGGGCTGAATGAGTGCAGTGCAGCATGGAAAGGGCAGCAGTGGAATCTTATTTTCAAAGGTCAAGTAGTACTGCGTGGAAGAAGACAGATATTAACTTTATTTTGTAATGGGTAATGGAGGTGAAGCCAATCACATCCTGAAGACAGACAGCTTCAAAGCAATGAGAGAAATATGTCCCTACTTTCAGAGTATGGGTAAAGAACCAGGAGAAGAATCTGGGACTTGGAGCACCCTGGTGAGAGCCCAGCAAGTTGGCCACCACACTCTCAGAATCACCCATCAGGATTCCAGATATTAAATGCCAAGAAATTGCTGTCTCTGACTGATGCTGGATACTCACTGCAGTAAGTCCCCGCAGGGCAGATATTCCCAGTCACATCATCTGTTGGATTAGGGAGAACTGCTCCACCTTTACAGTAAAACCCAGCAGTACATTCCCCACTAGGCACAGACAGACCTGGAAGACAGAGAGGGTAATGGCAACCCAAGCATGAAAGCAAAGGAAGAAAAGCAGGAGAAAAACCAACTTGGAGCTTCCCTCAGGGTAAACATGACAAGCTAACACCTGAGCCCCATCCTATGCCAGCCCAGAGAGACACCAAAGACACCCTGCAAGAACCACTGCAGCTCTACGAATGTATCAGGATAAAAACAGATCACATTTAACACTCCAAAAGAATACGGAAAGGACAGCAAAGAAACAGAAGAAAATGAATCAGCAGTCTGTATCCCAGTATCTGCAGGCTCTGCAGATTCAGAGAACATAGAGGAATCTGACAGAGGACCTTGACCCCCTGTATCTACAAACCTATAAAGATGTATTCACACTGTTCCTCTGAGGATGGGAACATGGCCACAGAAGCTTAAGGACACAGAGAAAATTCTGGGCAAAGTTGAGTTTATCACCTGGAATCAGAACTTAGCTTTAGGTCTTCTTCTGAGTTCCTAAGTAACAAATATGTCTGTATTTTTGCTCCCTTTGAAAAGGATCACCTTTGTTTTTCCAAAACAGACACCAACCTGAAGCATTGCAGTAAAATCCAGGATGGCAGGGAAGAGGCTCTGGGCTCCCTCTAGGGCAATAGAAACCAGCTATGCACTTCCCTCCAGTAGCAGTAGCTGGGCAGAGGCAGTTGGCACTGGTGTAGTTATCCAGGTCAAAAGGCTGCGAGGTCCAAGCAGCAGAGATGCAAAACCAACCTGAAAACAAAGTACATATAATGATCCTTCTATAAGGCACCATATTAACCAAGATGGTCTCACAACCTTCAGTTCACTACTATATGGCAACGGGGCTCAATTCTCCTGCCAAAGCAGGCTGTGAATTGCAGACAGATTACTGTTCGTGGCTACCAGATACATCCTACATGAATTCTGCACCCATTTGAAAGCTAAGTGGATTCCCAGGGTGCCTTCAGTGGTACTACACACCTACAGACAGCCAAGTGACTCAAGCAAACAGGGAGGCTGATGGATTGCCTCTATGTGCTGTGCACTACAGCAGCCAAACATCCAGACTCACCTGCATCACACTCGCCTGATGGAGCTGTCAAGTTCTCCTTCCCACAGTAGTGCCCAGGTGGGCAGGGCAAGCAGCTGTCCAAGCTCTGTGTCATGGGATCAGGGTTAAAGTAGCCCCGGGGACAAGGAAACTCAGTAGCAAACCTGGTTCCTTTGAAATAAGAGAGAATCTTTCACAGATTATATCATCTTGGCCATTAATCCTACAGCATCACCTCATGTTTCTAAGGATTCTATGATTCTATGTCATATTGTTGCCAATTCATCTCAGTGCTGACTTTCAGAATGCACAGCTTGGCATTAGCAGCTGTGACAACCTCTATGCAGTGCTTAATTTACCAAGGAGGGGCTTAAATGACAGCCTACAGCTTAAGAGCCTGGATGCTTCTACACAGAAGAACCAGATTTGACCCTCGAAGCTTTATTTCACAGGGACCACTTCCTGCCTTTAAAAAGATGATGTTTCAGCCTGGTCAATGGATGACCCCATCCCCTGTGCCCATCTCACCTTTAGGACAGTAAAAACCAGCTGGGCAAGGATTCACACTGTAGCTGGTAGTATTTTCTGGGCAGTAGTACCCTGCAGCACAAGGGAAGCACGCAGCTTGTCTGGTGAGGTTGTTGTAAGTCCCTGCAAGGCAGGCTAATGGAAAGCTGGCTCCTTCTGGGCAGAAATGGCTCACAGGACAGGGGCCTCCTGCCTCCCACACACCTAGAACACGAAAGTACAAGACAAAGCAAAAAAAGGGAACTCCTGAGCAAGGGACAACGCCAACAGATGGAGCTAACTGATGAGGATCTCCTCAGTTATGTCTTCTGGGATCCGACAGATCAAAAGGGGCCACAGCACAATCTAAAATGACTACAGTATCTCAGCTTTGGAGTTATTCAGTGCTGTGTCACCTTGTGCTTTTCCTCCTTGCTTCAAAGGAAAAGCCAGAGTGAACCTTATTTTTGCACATCAGCTTTCTAAGCATTTAGCTGAATTCTGGAAAATATTTAGTTGTCTACGAAGGACCTGGAACTCTTCTCTAAGAAACTTATTTCTTACGCACAATAAAATGGTAAGTGGGAATCAGGCCACTTGCATTGTATACTGGTAGCCAGAACTCTCCCAGTGTTCAATGAAAGTGTCTCATTCAGTAACACAGACTGGTGGAATGACTACTTTTTCATCCTTGCAGCTTATGCACTCCAATAGCACCAACAAAACTAATTCAGTTGCTTAAATGACTAAAAAGAAGCAGAAGCAGGAGTACTGGTGGAAAAGGAGGCATTTTTTTTTTTAAAGCTGTCTTGTTGCCAAGACCACAAATTATTGGACACAAGCAGGTGAAAACACCGATGTTCACACAGTACAACTCACCAGGTGGTGATGGAGAGGAAGCTCCAGCCAAGCAGTAGAACCCAGCTGAGCAGCGCCCTGAGGGTGCAGTGAGGGCAGCAGAGCTGCAGTAATGGCCAGATGGGCATGCCATGCAGCTGGATTCCTGCCACATGTACGGCCTGTAGAGAGACATAAGCAGGCTTTTTGTTGGCAAGGGTACAAGTTCAGCAGGAAGACCCTCGATGCTTATACCCCTGGCCAAGTGCAAACAACCAGGAGGCTTTCATAATCAGTGCAAGGATGTGTTTAATGAGCATTACTGAGTTGTACCTTAAGGAGGTAAAGGACTCTGTAGGCAAGTAAAGAAGGCACCAGGTAGCCAGCAGTAGGGACAGAAGGATAAGAAAAAAAAACAGAAGCTCACCTGTCTGAATAAGTGCCCACAGGGCACTGCTGGGGGATACTTGAGCCAGCTGGGCAGAAGTGTCCAGGTGGGCATGGGCCACCAGAGCTGGTGTTCGTGGCTCCATCAGGGTTTGGGACACTTGCTCCTACATCAGGAAGATAGACCTAAGGTTTCCTGAATGATATGGGCTGCTATTTGTATGCCAGTTTGCCTCACGTGCCTAAAGAATAATTTCTATAGCTGGAAGAAAAAAACTGCTGCTTTTCCCAAGTCCTTCTATTGGCCTCAAAAGCAGGTTTTTGATAAGACATTCCTTGGGGCTATCCTGGCACACTCTGCAGGAAAAGCTAGGAAGAGTTTGCACAGAGGATGTCTAGAACTGCTCCTAAAGACAATAGCTTTCTACTTTTTCACTTCTCCTTGGCCCTTGTGAGCATTACATTGGATACCTGCTGTGCAGAAGAACCCTGGCCAGCAGGGACCACTTGGAGAGGAGAGTCCCCAGTCTCCACAGAACATTCCTGAAAGACCACAAAGGGAAAAGAGTATCAGTGCAAAACAGGAGAGCTGGTGTGCTGCACATACTGATCAGAAGACAAAGAGAGAGGCTTTGAGAGAGCTGATCCCTCAACATCAGCATTCCAGTTCAAATCACACTCCTCTGGGAAACCCGTAGTGTAAAACCAAACCATTCTCCTACCTACAAAGGTTAAAAAAAAAAGCCATCAAGTTCAGCTTACTGGGGGACAATACCAGTGGGACAAGGAATCTATTTTGGGTATTATTATGCTTGCCTTTCTATCTCAGTGGATTAGGAGAAGAGATACACAGAGATCACCCTCTGATGCTGCTCCATGTAGACAATGAGAGTACTCAGCCATCTCCTCACCTGCTGGGCACTTCTGGCACCTCTCAGCCTGGCTGAGTCCGTAAGAGGGGTTGAAAGTCCCAGGGGGACAAGGATAAAAACTGATTCCTGTTCTCTGAGGGCAATAGAAGCCAGGAGGGCAGCGGCGCCGCAGTCCTTTAGGACAGTGGAACCCAGCAGGACATGGAAAACATTTGTCTTGACCTACAGAGGAAATAAGTCATGAACTGGAAGAAGATGCCACACAGACATCTTTCTTCTACCAAGCTGTGCACTTAAAGAAAGCAGCAGATGCAACAGTTATTCTGCAAGCCCCCTGGCAACGACTGGTGAGATCCATCCAGCAAGTTTCTCAAATCCACTCCAGCCCGAGTCCCAGTAACCTCACATCACACCGGTAGGTGGCAGGCAGAACAGCGAGGAAACTGAGTTAATTGCTCACTTAGTGTCACTGCTACAACCCCATTTGACCTGCGTGCTATGGGTGTGAATTGTACCCTCCACGTGGCATCAGAGGAATAAAAGGAAGGAAAAAAACAACCAAGAATCCCTTTCCTCTGTCCCAAGAAAAATACTGAATGCTTGTAACAGTTAGCAGCTAGCAACTGCTATTCTTGGATGCAGACAAAAAACAGGATTTGCTTCTAGCTTTCCCAAGCCACAGTGAGGCTGCGAAGATCCAATTGCTGACCTGTTGCATTGCTGTATTCACCACTGGGGCAGGGAGAAGGTGCTGCTGAACCTGCAGGGCAGAAATGTCCTCGAGGGCAGACATCTCCAGTGACACCATCCTCTGGCTTTGCAGTCTTTGCCCCTCCTGTGCAGTAGTAACCTTGAAGAAGAAAGCATACAAGTCCTCTCTGTCATGCAAAAAACCCCCCTGAATTTCTGAGTAGCTAAAAAGTTCTGGTTTTGTCTCACCTTGTGCACAAAGTCCTACAGGAGCATCTTGGCCAGACATACTGCAGAAGAACCCAGGAGGACAAGGAAGACACCAAGTGGCATCCTGGGCTCCCCTCTGGCCATTCCAGGTGCCAGCAGGACATGCCATCTCTTTTGGGTGCGTCGTGCCAGCAGGGCAGTAATATCCTGGTTGACAAAGATCTCCAAACAAAAGGCCCACCTGAAGCAAAGGAAATGAGATTGATACAGCCCATGAAATCTCCTGTAGTGCCTAATGGTCTGCAGTAACACAAGGTAATGAGTACTCACAGGTGAGGAGCTGCTGGATCCTTGGCTGCAGTAATATCCAGGCTGGCAAGGTCCTTCTGGCTCAGTCAGACCTGCCATGCTGCAGTACCTGCCTGCTGGGCAGGGCTTACATGAACCTGCCCCAAGCATATCTGTATACATTCCCTGCACAGAAACAGAGAACTAATGAATACCCTCCTCCAAGGGACTGGAAACCTCCTGAAAACTACTACTTAAAAAACACAGGGATGTTGGATTCTTACCACTGGACAAGGGAGAGGCAGGGAACTTCCACCCAAGCAAAAATGTCCCTTTGGACAAGGCTGGGCTTCAGCCAGTCCTATCTCATTGCAGAATGCTCCCTCTGGACAGTCCCTGCAATGAGACTGACCACGGTCCTAAAAAGGGGATATAAGAAAGAACTTGGTGGATGTGCAGTGACATTGCTTACAATGTGAACGAAGCAGCTTTGCACATTCTACCAGCTCCCAGAGACTCCCTGCTGCAAAACAAACACCCCGAATCATTGGAACAGCAGTCCAAAAAACAAAAGATTTGTGGCATCTGAATAGCACCCTGTGTCATTAAAGCAGCAGTAGACACAGCCCTTATCTAACAGCAGTGAAAGGCTGCACAACTATGCATGTGGCAATTCACCTATGCTAGAGCAAAGCTTCCTCAACCCACTGCTAAATTGGCACTACACAAAACTGAGGAAAAACTGCCTGATTAGCTTCAAGGAACCAGGCTGAACTGGTGGATCTGATGTTCCATCCCCAATCTTTCTACCTCTGCACAGTTCTGCTTCTGCAAGGCAAAAGCAAGGATGGGAATGATTGCCCAGCTTACCAGAAAACCCAAATCCCTCTTTTTTTTTAAGCTATCTACTTATGAACACTTCCCAAATGACTATTCACACCCTTGTACAATGGCTCTGAAGATCCCACAAGCATCTTAGAATGCATACTACACTAATACTCACAGGCTGGAAGCTGCCAAGAGGACACAGCTCTGGCTTGAAAGCTCCTGCTGAGGAATAATGTCCTTCCATGACCACATGCTGAAGAGCACTTTTGGCACCTCCTGTACAGTAGTATCCAGGCTCACACGGTCCTGAGGGAGCTCGGGTATTTGTCCCATCACAATAAAGGCTTTGAGTGGTGGGGAGAAAAATAAAGATCTTGGGTGGCAATAGTTTGTCACTGGTTAGCACACTGCCCATACAAAAAATCCCCTTCAGTCTACCTGGGATCTCACAGAGACCTCATTCCTGATCACTTACAGGCCTTGAAAGGAAGTTAGAGAGCATATACACCACTTCTCATGCATCCTTTTTAGAGACAGCAGCTTTAACCTGGAAGGAATTTCCCCCTGTACAATCACAAAGCTGCATCTGCACATGCATATCTGTGTGATCTGAATAAAGATGACACAAACACCCAAATGTTGGTTTTCTTCAAGTCTTCTTTGCGTCTTTGGACTAGAAATATACAGGTGTTAATAGAAAAGTAGGAACTCTGAGGGCACTCTCTTCAGCTTTTAGACAAAATATGAATTCCAGAGCTGTCTCATGCTACATTTTTCTTGCCTACATCTCTAGGGAAAAGAGGGAGTGAAAAAACAAAAAAAGACTGGAAAATTTGGATTCTCTCAGCTCATTGGACTCCACCCTACTGAGACCTACAGCTCCATCCCAGGAAAGCACAAAAATTACAGGTCATGGTGCCACCCAGCCCCAGATGATCTTGCACGCTCTGTCACAGCAGCATGAAGATAAAACCACCTGAAAGGCAGACTGCTCATCACTAACAATCTGCATGCATTTCATGGAGAGGTAAAAGCCAATGCTAAATCCACACCTCTTCTTTCAGAATCAGATGTGTAATCCTGGCATCATTAAGAGGAATGTAATATAGTGGTGAGTTATATAATCTGCTAATACAAAAAGGACTATCCAAACAGTACTAATGAGAATGTTTAAGCAAGAGTTGCTAGGTCAGGCCATCCAGCACTACAGACATAATGAGTCTTGATAGATGCTAGTGAACAGCAAATGCTGGGGGGCAAATCAGTTCAAGTTCTTTATTATAAATCATCTAATACAGGTATATAGCAATGGAGAGTGCTGGCAGCACATTTGCTGGGAACAGAAGGAACTGCAAAAGGGCTGGAGATAAGGCTGTGCTGCTTGGGCAAGAAATGCAAGGTTTAAATGGTCCTTTTGCAGTGAGACAGAACTGAGTCGTAATCAGCAAACAGTGCACTCACCCAGGTGGGCAGTCCAAGCACTGACCAAGGCTTCTCAGCCCACTCACATTGCTGTAGGTTCCTGGAGGACAGGGGATGGGTAAAGGGGACCCAGGTGGGCAGTATGTCCCTGCAGGGCACACATCTCCTGTCACACCATCTGTAGGCAACTGCAATTGAAAAAAGCATCACGTAAGAAAGGAGAACACTGGGTTAAAATACTTAAGGCATCATACTGATTTGGGCTCAAGGCAAAACCAAGGAGAAAAATAGAGACTTTCACTGCTGTACAGTGAACAGATAATGCCTCTTTAAGGGGAATGTAGTAAACACACAGAAAGAAGAAATAAGGATGACCTTTTTCACACTGGCAATCCCACTATGATTCACTCCAACTGAACTTTTCACCTGGATATTCAACCTAGCTCCATTTTTAGTTAAGGTGATGGCAGTGTTTAGAGGGGAAAGCTATAAAGTGGTTATGCTTCCTTGGAGGGCAGCAGAGTGGCCCTCCTGCTATAAACTTGGATGAGCGCAGTGCAGAACTGCAGTTCTTGAAGTCACTGGGTCAAAAACACCCCACCACAACGTAAGAGAAATAGGTAAGGAGAAAAGCTTGACTTACTGCAGTAAGGGCTCTGCCCTGGCAGTAGAACCCAGCCTTGCAGGGACCACTTGGCCCAGTCTGCCCTGGAGCAGCACAGTAGAAACCATGGCCACATGGGCTGCATTCTGATGGTCCAGACAGTCCCTTTTTGTTACTGTAAGTTCCCTCGGGGCAGGGCTCAGGTTTAGAGCTGCCTTCACCACAATAAAAGCCCTGCAAGACAAAGTCAGCTTAATACAGCACTCAGGACTCTTCTATTTAACAGATCCCCCACATATAGCTTCTTCTATTAGATAACCACTGAAGAACAACTCACTACTGGGCAAGCTTTGGGCTCTGTCATGGCAGGAGAGTCGCAATAGTACCCAGCTGGACACGGTTTGCACCTGTCTTCATCCTCTGCACTGGAATTATCCCAGAAGAATCCAGGGGTGCAGGGGAAGGAGAAAGGGAATCCAGTTCCTGGAGGGCAGTTGAAGCCAAGTGGACAATCTCCAGTCTAGAAAGTGAAAAAGACAGCGAATGTGGCTTTGTCATTCTTCTCTGGTAGGGAAGGGAGATAGGTTAAGGTTCACCAAAGAGAGATCCAAACTTCATCAACAATTTGAATAACCTGGAAGTTTTACTGCAAGAAAATGGTGCAGAAAAAGAGAGGAAAAAAATGGAATTAGTAAAATCGATAAGATAGAAGGTGCTGACAGACAAAAGGCAAAGGAAAGACAGAAAATATCTATTAAGTAGGCTTCATTCACAGTTGCAGCCTCTGGAAAAAACGTTAGGAAAAGCTGGGCTATGCTTACAGGATGGGGAATTCCTGAAGGCTCAGCCCCAGCTCTGTAGCAGTACTTCCCTGCAGGGCACAGTGAGCATTCCTCAGCACTGCTGAGTCCCTTCTGTTTACCATAGGTCCCATTGGGGCAAGGCTTTGCATCTGAGCCCTTGAAACAAAACAGAAAAAACAGGTCTTACACGACTGCCACATCCCATAAGGCCCACAAGCAACAGATGAAGCTACAAGAATATTCCTTTCCAATCAGTGGGAATGTACACAGAAAAGCAGCCCAAAGCAGATGTACTCACAGTATCTCCCTGGGGACAGTAGAAGCCCCTCGGGCAGGAGTTTGCATTGGCCTCTGGAGCAACAGCCTGTCCTTCTGGGCATCGGAGACCAGCTGGGCAAATCATGGCCAGCAGCATCACCTCCCGGCTGGTGTGCTCACTAGCACAGTAATGTCCAACAGAGCACGGCAAGCAAGAGGCAGAACCTTGGTCCTACAACATGGAATGATATCCCTTTAAAAATCCCATCTAATCTAACCTACAAACGACAACCCGCAGGTAATTGAGTGTATTTATTCACCCTGCAAGAGTGCTTGGCAGTACAAAGCAGGCCCTGTCCTTCCTGTGGGTTATCCATGTGAAAGGCTCTGAGCCTCAAAGCAGTCAATCCAACACCTTTTGCCAGCAGTAACAGAAAAACAAACACATTCCCTCGTCACACTCAACTGCAAAGTGCAGATGAGAGATAATCAAGGTCCATTTGACATAGGTAAGTAAATCCCCATTCATCATTTATCTCGCCTGCAATCTTAATGAATGGTCCTAGTGGAACACAACATTTGCACTGCGACAGAAAAACAGCCTGGACAGAAGACTGACGTGTCATTTCTCCCTCAATAGTGAAACCTAACAATTATCATTAAAATTACTCATTAGTTTGGGGGCAGAGAAATGAGCCTCAGCACTTTGTGAGAAGCAGTTGTGCCATCCATTCCCTTTTGGGGCTCTATCTCACTGTTTTACCTTCCACAGCCAAACGATTGCTTAACTGCACTGCAATCCAATACTTCCTTCAGAGCATGAACTAAATATGAGTGTTTGCTCTGCCGTTCCCCTGTAATGCTTACACCAACAACGAAAACTAAAAACAAATCACCCAAATCCAAAGCATCTATCCAACAGCATGCTGCCAGGTGAGTGATGGATGGAGGGGTTAGATTGCTACTGCAAGCCTCAGGAGTGGGAGTGACTGCAAGAAGAATATTGCATGTGATGCACTTCCAGCATCATGGCTGGAGCAGTGCCAAGCTTGATCATTCAGAAACATGAGGAACGTTCCCAGTGCATTCTCTAGACTAGCACTTTCATTATTTAAAGGGTCAAACACAGGTGGGCAATATTGTTTAAAGCGCTGTATGCAATCTCCTCAAATACCCAGACTCATAATGCAAGAAGATTGCCTCGTTCCAACGCCTCCTTTGAGGGGTATATATTCTTTAGCTCCTCTTTTTACCAAAATCATCCACTTTTTACGTTGAACAGATGCCAAGATGAAATTATTGCTGCTTACTGAGAAGTTGCCAGCACCACATGTTCGAGGTGTAACAGTGCCAAGGTCGGGGCAGTAGTATCCTCCAGGGCAAGGGACACAGTCTGCAGCCACTCCTGCACCATGTTCCATACGATAAGTTCCTCTACAGGAGAAAAGACAACAGTAGAAAAAGTCACCAATGGCAGCAAAGTGACAAAGAAAAGGACAGCGTGTTTCTGGTTTGCATTTTTAGCCTCTCATATAGAGGATTTCTACCATTTCTGGAGGGAAGAAACTGCGTGATTCAGAGAAAAAAACCTTCATGGACTGCCCAGCAAGAAGCAAGGGGAAATGAATTAGTATCATTCTGCACCAGAAATGTTTACCACTTATAAGAAGTGTTCTGATACACTCACACGGATCAGAGACCCACAGCTATGACAGCACATGCACTGTACTTACATTGGGCAAAGAACTGGCTTGGAGGTCCCAGTGGGGCAGAATGCCCCAGCAGGGCAGGCAGTACAATCTTCCACTCTGCTGTTTCCCAGCCTGGTGCCATACGTTCCTGCAGGGCAGGGGTGCTGTGTGCCTCTCCATGTACCTTCCCCAAAAAAAGAGCAAAGAATCATCTTAATTCTTATTAAAGCTTTGAAAAGAGAAAGCAATATAATGCCCTTGGTTCTTTGTTGTTGTTAAGTACTTACATGAGTTACATGTACATATATATACACGTATGTAAATATATACACACATTATATATATATATATACTGAAATGCTTTGGTGCAAATAAACTAATAAAGCCACGTGCTGACTTTATCAGAGTCATTTCTAAAGATAGAAATAATGGAAATTTCTTTCATTTCTGGCTAAAACTGCCTACCTTGAGGACAATAGTGCCCTGAGCTGCACATGCCAGAAGGGACATGAGATCCTCCCACACAAAACCAGCCTGCAGGGCACAGCAAACACTCCTCTTCTGATTTCAGCCTCGTCCTATTGCTCCAGGTGCCCGGGGCACACTTGTGCTGCACTGCATGCTTTGTGCCTGGTGGACAGTAGTGACCAACTGGACAAGGAGCAGGAGGCTTCTGTTTTCCCCCTGTACCTGTAAACACAAAGAGATGAACAGTCTATTATGCAGCATACTGGCTTCAGACAATCCAATTCCCTTGGTCTGTTTTCAGCTCTGATAGATGCTGCATCAAGTCTTCTCCTTTTGCACCTTTTCTCCATTCAAAATGAGAGAATTACTTCCTCTGCTGACAAGAGGTTGTCACAGAACTGGCTACTAAAGCAATTATTTCCAGCCTTGAGAACCCTGCAGGGTGCCTGTGTCCAAATCTGACAGACATTAAATTGAAGAGGCCATCAACATGCAAAATATTTGGATACTGTAAAAAAATGGCTGCTTCCATTTCATTAAGTGAAAGCAGTAACATCAATAATATCAACAACAGGTATCACCAAGGGAAAACCTCAGACTAGAATTAAACTCAACCTGTTCAGAAGGTACAACAGTCTCAACCCTACAACTGACACCTTCTTCCCCACTGTTAACTCAGTGATCTGCTCTCAATTAGTGGGGGGATGCATGGCACAAGGCACCAAAGAACACAATTCATTTTGCCATAAAACCACGTACCTCTAACACAGAAATATCCAGCAGGACACGTCTCACACTGGGACTTATCAAAGAGGTCAAAGCCATTGCCAACCGTTCCTGGAGGACAGGCATTGCTGGGAATATGTGGGCTGGATGATCCTACTGGGCACACGTACCTAAAATAACACAGCAGGTTGGTCAGGGCCAATGGTTCAATGCAAGAAGGAGGCAAACTCTGATCCCAGAGTGATAAATAAACAGTGCAGCTGGAAAAAAAAACAGCCATATCTGCTGTACTTCAGAAAATTCCTCTACCAACACAGCCCATATCAGAGAGATTTACCAGAAACTGTAATAAAACCTCAACATTCCAGAGGAATCTCTATGCAAATGAACCACCAACAAAAACAACCCAAAGAACCAATAACACCACAATGGAGACGAACCATACGTACAGACACATAGGAATGCATAGAAAACAATCAAGGCTTACCCTGGTAAGCACTCAGAGTCAGGCTGGGCTAATCCAGCCTGGGTGCAAGCTCTTCCTGCTGGGCAGGCTCTGCAGTCAGTGGCTTCATCCTGTCCTTGGAGAGGATTGTATGTACCTGGCTGGCATGGTGCTGGCTGATTTGCTCCCGCAGGACAAAAATACCCAACAGGACACTTCAAACACAATCCATTTCCTAAAGAAAAAGAGGTATTTAGAGTCCCAAAGGGAGCACGACTTGCTGACAAAACAAAATGTGATGCCTTTACTATCACCTACAGCAAGAAAGCATAATGGAAGTTTATTCATAACAGCAATGAAGTTAGTGCAAAGCCAGAAGGTGGTGGTATTGGATTAGCTGATTATTACTGTGACTGAGTGGCTCCTGGAAGCAGTAGAACCATCTGGACTGTGTTGGTAATAAGAGAAGTAAGACGCATTGAAAAGCAAACACATCAGCCTGAAAACACACTCTGATGGAGGTAGATTTAATAACCTCAGCGCCTCAGTCGTGCAGGAGCCTGGGGTTTCCACGAAAGCTGGGCTGTTTCCATGTTTGTACTCTGAATACTGAGAGAATTGAATGAGTTTCACAGACTGGAGATGGACTCAATAAAAATGAATGGATACCTCCTGGAATGGCAGCCACCTGAGTGTCTCTAAAATCATGTGTGCTAAGACATGCCAGAACTCCAACTTAAAGGGAACACTGGCAAGATCAATAGGTAGTGAAACAATGCTTCCTTATTGGTTTTGTCACGTTCACAAAGTGCATTTCATTACAGGATGTCCCCAGACATTTAACTTAGTAAAAAGGAACACATTTAGCACAGGAATATCTACTATCCACTGAGTCAAAGCTGCCAAGTGCACAAAGCAAATACAGTGATACTGGCTGTGAAGGGAACGCAATGGCTCAGTGCTATTGAGGCTCCCAAGAACAATTCCAGGTTGAACCCCAATGGAAAGGTAAGTACATCCCACTGACTGTGCTGTACTGCAGGTGGGAACACAAACTGAGACCACCATGACTCAAAATATCTTCCAGCATATCGGAGTTAATTCTTATGCCCCCTGTTTGTTTTGTAGACAGCACTGTGTCATCTTCGCCAAGTTCTCCTTAGGAGAGTTGACAACATCATTATAGAATGTACTACAGGCATAGGATATCAGCTTACATTATTAAACTGGAAGTGTTTTTGCACTCATATCTCCTTTGCATCTTCTACAGTGTTTGCTCAGGTGCCATTGGCCCCGTCTCTTGAATTTGGCTGTCTTGATGAGATGCCAGGTTTGCTCCTCGCTTCTCCACGTAAATGCAATTCTGCTTTTAATTTCAGAAGTGGGTGGAAAGCAGCAATTTCTTAGCCTTAGCTGGTGAGCAAAAAACTCATTCAACAGTCAAGATGCTTTAGCAGCTGAGTCATTCGCTAGAAAAGAAATGATCAAATAGAAAAATATGGGGGCTTGAATTGAAAGAGATAATTATTTCCTCAGCACACGTACCTCTCTCAGGCACAGGGCACAGTAGATGTGAAGTGAGATCGAGCACAACCACACTCCAGGTTTCCACTCCTGGCAGTGCACCTGGTGATTTGTGCCCCCAGACAAAGCATGCTGGACTTGGACCAAAGCTTGCTTTAGTAATGGAGGTTCATCCTCCGAATCTCTCCAACACTATTTTCCCATTTGTGTAGCAGCATTAAGAACAGAGCAGCATTTTTATACTGTTGAAAGAGACCCTGAGGTACTCCAAAATGTTCAAAATCAGAGCTAGCCTAAGAAACATCTGAGTATTGTAGGGGAAGCCTTGTGCCTATGTCCTTGCAAACACATCAGAACGTCACCTGTAGCTTCTACAGCTTCTCAAAGTATAAACTGCAGTGTTTATTTATTGTTAAAATTAAAAAACCCAAACTTCTGACTAATCTGTAGTGCAATTTCACCTTGCTGCAAAAAAGAACTGAGATTATTTGGACTGATACAAATGGAGCATCTCTTTCAAAAATGAAAGACACTGTCGACTTTACCACGTGACCCCATAAGAGACCTGCTGGATGACACTGAGCACATAATTTCTGATTGCTTCTTAATTATTTCTACTGAAAGTACAATTACCATCTCCTTCTTTACTGAAGCTTCTTAGAAATCTCTGCACAGGGTAGGTATGTAAGTGCTATGGTCCACATCCACACAAGGAGTTCCAATGAGGTGGACAGTAAACGCCTGTGGGTGCAGCAGCCCTGCAGACCTACTCTGAGCTTTAGTGCTGCTAATAACAGGACTCTTGAAGGTCATGTTTTAATATGGGATGGATTTCTATTTAAGACAAGTCCATCTGGTTGCTGATTCTGCCAGCTGTGTCTTTTACAGAACGTAAAGCTGCACGACATCCTTCAGGTTTGACACCAAAAGGCAAAAAGCATCAGACCCTAAAAATCCCCATTCCAGCTCTGTCAGCTTGAAACTTTTTTTCTGAGATGCAAAAAACTTTCACCAATGCTTTGTAAATTGCCAGCCAACAACAGTTTCCTGGACTGGGCCACCAGTTCTCATGATGCACACATATCATAAAGGTGTCCTCTCTTTCAGAAGTAGATGTTCATGCAATCCATTCCATTAAAAACAAAGATTTCTATCACTTAGTGGTGCCATTCATCAGGACAACTGTCATGACAGAGGCTGCTGGCTGCATCACTGATCTCCTGTTCTAACAGATGTCACTGGTGAATAAAATAAACCTGTTTATTGATGGAGGGTACTGCAGGAGTGACCTCAGTGCAAGAGTACTCCTGCAGAAACATGGGCAGCACTCTGCATGCATTGCCACCAGGTACCCAGTGGGATCCAGCCAGCTGAGTGACCTCTCCTTACATTCACACATTGAGAAAAAGAAACTCCTAATTGTGACCTGCTTGCTGGAGGGCTTAGCTTTGACACAGCAGATTGAATCAAGCCAACCACCAATTTCCCATGCAACACTGTACACACATTGACTCGTGTGCACAGTGCTGGGTGCAATCCTGCATGCTGACAAGGTACATATGCTGTCTCTTCTCCCCTTTAAACTATTTTAAAAGGAGCTCTATGCCAAATGCTTTTTTTCAAGCCCCCTGCACCAGCACAAATTATTCCACAGTGGCCCAACTACAACCTGAGTGCCTGGAGAGAAGGGTTCTATTTACTACACCACTTTTTTCTACCCTTCTCTCTCCAACTGTACACCTTCTGTCTCACCTTGATTCCTTCAGTGGCATATTTCTCTCCAGAACCTCTCTAAACGGGCAGACTCTGAAACCTTTTCAGTCTCTTAGCTAGAAAGGATGCTGCAAACCTGGCTGTTGCTGTCCTACATGTGAAAGGTTAACTCTACAGCTTGGATACCTCTAGATAAACTGTCTTTAGTTGTGATAAATGAGGCAGCCCCAGGGATTCACTCACCCTACTGAGTAGATGAGGGCAGTGGTTGCACAGTGCCAGCTGAGCAATAAAAAGACAGCACTACTGACAATAAATAAAGCCCTCCCACATGCAGGACACAGTTTATTTGCAGCCTCTCTCAACAGACTTTTGTTTTTCATTGTTCATCTCTTCCCAAGAAATTACAACCCAAACATATTGTATTCTGTAAAATACTAATGATTAATTGATGCTACACTGCCAGTCTGGTGATTTGTAGGAGATTCTATGTTCCTTTCATCCAGCTCTAGCACAGCCTTAAAGAGAGCCTAGCAAATAAGCATTGTAGCCATCACCCCTTCATAAACATGTACTTCACACTGTGATTCAGAGCAAGAATCATCACTCCCACTGCAAAATATTATGACACACACCAGGTAAGAACGAGGAGCTGCTGCTGGGCATCAGAATCTCCTCTTTGGGTTTGTAGCTCCCTGCTGGGCATGGAGGAGTGTCTGTAAGGCTGCCTGCACAGAAGTGACCTACAGAAAAGAACACAGCATATAGTTTAGAAACAACATTCTAGAACAACTCACTTAAAACCCTTCTGCCAGTTGTACACTCGGTGATGAAATGCTCGTGCCCAGCTAGAATGAATTACTTATTCCTAAGTAAGATTTTCTAAGACTTGATATCAAATGCTTTACTAAACTCCAGATGGATTATCTGAAGAGCGTTAAAAAAAAATGGATTTAAGTGTGCAATAAAACTGCCACTGCTATCTTGAAATATACTGCTATGTATCAGCATAGCAATGACACTTCATTCACACGCACGCAACACTTAAGTACACAGATTATATATAATTAAAGTCAGTCAAACTGTGCAAAAGAACGCTGAGAATCCTCAAGCCTCTCTGGCTTGTGATGGTATTGAAGCTCCTTACCATCTTTGCAAGTAGCTGGGATCATTTACTCTGATTAACAAGAGCTGATGGAAAACATGCCCATTAGAACACACAGGACTAATTTTAACACCAAAACATTGAATTTCAGCATTGGATACACAACATGCATTTACTTCATCGATCACCTATTGAGAGATTTTCACTTGCTCTCTCTCCAGGTCCTGCTATTGATACACTTCAGCTGAAATCTGACCCCAGCCTTTGGTTGATCTTGTGTCGTAAACAATAATACAGCAGCAAATCTGTCACTGAAATCCATGCACTGATATGCCCACAGCAATTATTCTATTAAGTATGGTCTATAAACGGTTCCTTAAGTCAAAAGAACAGCATTTCCTGGATTATTATTATTTTTAATGGAGTCAGGATAAGTTCCCTGAGACTTATCCTGCTCTAAGAGTTCTATGAGACACCATAAATAATTAAGTATAATATGATACACACTCACAAAGACATCATCACTTCCCCTGTAGAGCTTGTGTACAACAGATTACTTATTTGCTAGACTTCCATACACAATCTCAGGCACTGGAAATACAGCAAACTCCTCTATTTTGTCATGTGTATTATTATAGCTGGATCTAATAAATTACTGAGGTTTCGGTCTAGCGTGATCTCAGTTTTTATTCTATTTCTCCATCTACTAGGAGGCAAGGTATCCAAAAGTAAAGGAACTCTTCATTATTTAATAAAAAGGATTCTAATTACACATGTAAGAATCAAGTTATTGGGTTCAGTGACTCTGCGGGAGGCACCTGGAGCTGCTCATTAAACACTTCATCTTCACATGCAAGACAGGGCTTAGAGGGGAGGAGATGGCTTGGTAGGACTGCAGATTGTGAACGGCATTCCCTGTAGTGACATTAAATATTCCTTTGCAAAATCACAGCTACACCAGGCTCTCCCTGTCAGTCCACATTTCTTGGGTTCTGTTGGGTAGAAAACGTGAATTAAAACCTGATTTTCGGTGCAGGGAATTATCAGTAATAGCAGCACTACCTGCAGCACTGAATATTTCCTATTACCAAGCACTGCAAAAAGGGAATGGAAAAGAACTTGTGTGGAGGCCCTTGAGGGTGTACCAAAGCCCCACGCTTTTCACAGATCCCAACAGAAAGCTAACCTTAGGCTAGGAAATCCTCAGCAGGCTTGTATTCACTCTCTAGAACGTATAAAGGACATGACAGATTTTAATGTTGAAGAGAACTCTTTCTGGTAACAGGTAGTCTCCTTCAATTTCTGTCTTAATGACTAATGAAGATGCTCATGAGATGCACTCACCTGCTGGACAGGGTTGGCATATCAGCATGTCTTCAGCTGAGACAGAACCACGGGCATAGGTAACACAGTGAGTGTGGCTTGGATCTGGCTCCTGCCCGGCCAAACAGTGCTAAGGGGAAGAAACAGAAGCACACACCAATGGGCTCAATGGGCCTCTGATGCCCAAGGCTATGTCCAAAGGAGACCTGGGTCAGGACATGAACCAGTACTGCATTCTTTCTTGTGTTTCCTCCTTCTCTGCCTTCTCCTCCTTGCCAGCTCTTTCTCAGATCTATCCTTCAGGGTTAATTTCTAGAAACAAACTCACACCAAGCTCCTTTGGATCCTCAGCCGAGGGTTTTAATGGAAAGCAGAAAATCTGAGCACTAATAATCTCAAATTTTAGGTAAGAAACGTGCACCCTGACAATACATTCATGTTCAGGCCCCACCTGTCAGAAAAGCTGACCCTGAAAAATAACATGCTTGTTTTTGTACCTGCTTGCTCTTTCCATCTGGGCAGACGTGGTTCTCTGGACATCCCAGGCACTGTGATTCTCCCTCTGGAGAATACTGGCCAGGGCTGCAGCTCCTCTGCACACCACTACGTGGATCACACGAATAGCCATCAGGGCATGCACGACATCCAGCTCCACTCTCTAGGCTGAGATAACCATCAGGACAGACCTGCAGTGTAATCACAAACAGCATCAGATCCAGAGAAGCATATTCTTTTCGTGAATACGTGCAGCTCAAATGTTAGAAAGAAAGGATCCTGGATCATTTTCAATATCTAGCCTCCACACCATGAAGAGTTCACAGATTCACAGAATGCTTCACAGAGCTCTTCTACAAACTCTTCAGTTTATGGAATTCCCAGAGAGCTGCCAACGTGTACTTTTCACCATCAGCACTGTAAAGAATGAACCAAGGCAGTGCTGCTCACTGTCTACGTGGATGTACGTGTGGCTTGCTCTGACCAAAAACAAAGCCAAGTATCATTTCTTTCCCAAAAAAACTCAAACCAAACTGAAAAATCTGCTTTGAAGCTCGAAATGAGATGATTCAAAATATGTGGCAGCAAATGTAGAGATGTGGAAAATACTACTTCCACCTGTCTGCTTTCCTTCCCTGCTCATCTCCTTACCTGGCAGGCTGTGATGTCCACTTGAGCTGTAAGTTCATTGGCTGTTCCCAGTGGGCATTTCCTTGGAGCTTTTTGACCCCCAGGGCAACTGGAATGAAAATAATGAGAGTTTTAAAACCAATCTCTTCCACTTCCACCACCAACATGGTGTTGTGCAGCTACAAGACCACCCCCATTTACTCAAACATAGAATTATGAATTCAAATCGGATCATTCCAGGATCTCAAAGGGAGCTAACACATTTTTAGTCTTCCAGGAGATAAGATGCAATGCTTGGACTGCACATCCACAGGCAGAATTTGCAGCAGGAGACCTAGCAACCTAAACTTAGTGTTCAAGTCAACCTGTCTTTTGCAATCTTGGCCTGAGATTTACCTGAAAACTCTGAGATGGCCACCACCACTTGCATCTGAACGAGCCAGGTGTGGCAGGGAATGCAGCCTTCATGTTTTAGTCCTGAAAAGGTGGAGTGCATTCTACCACAAGTCAATGACACTCTGTTGGTTAGGAACTGGAACGTGGTTTTGTCAAGCTGACTCTTCTCAGGAAGAACAACCACTGATTTCAAGGGGAGCTGTGAATGCTCCAATCACTGCAGAAAGCACCTTTGATCCAAAGACTGGTCTTCATGGTCAGCTGATTACCTCTTACCACACTTTGTACAAGACAGCTCTCTGAATTTTTTCAGCCTAACAGGATGCTGCAAATGCCCAAAGTTTAACTTGCTTATTGCAGAAGCTCTGAGAGAGAGGGAAGGAAGGAGACTTACTAGAAGCCTGTAGGACATTCCAAGCAGTTGCCAGCTGTGTAGTAATGTCCCTGCTTGCAGTCTATGAGACACTGGGTCTGGCAGTCTACATTGCTCTCTGGTGAGGGGGAAGAGGTCCCTATGAGAAAGCAGAAGAAAATATACTTCACTTATTCTATTTTTATTTATTCATTTATTTCTCAGAGTAAGCTGGCTGTTCTGCACTCAAATGAGCATCTCTGTGTTGTTACCTGAAAACTGTCACATTTGATTCCTTCCTGTGTTTTAAAAAATTAGCTCTTCTCGGTGAAAGCATCCCTCCTTCTCTGCCTGTTTCCTCCCATGAATTAATTAAAAACAAAACAAAAACAAAAACCACCCATGGTTTTGAAAGAACTGCAGCCAGACCCAAGAGTTTATAACCAGAGCGAGCTAAACAACTGTCATCTCTAATGCCTTACAGCCTTCAGAGGTAACAGTGTCAGCACTAATACAACAACAAGTCTGTCTGAATAAGAAAGTTATCCACTCACCTGTCAGGAAGATCCTAAGGCTACAGAATAAGATCAGCCAACTCAAAGCATTAGCCATGGGGGCTGGTAAACAATTGTTAAAGAAATACTCAGATGTTATGTTGAAAACATTTCTTGAACATCTGGTATTGCCTCTGCTGAAGCCCAGTGTAACCAAATCCCTCTCACGTAATCACTTTCCAATAGAGCCTGGAGTGAAATTAACACCATGCAGCAGAACGATGGCTCAAGAGGTAAAACAGTGGAAAATACCCCGTAGTGCTAGTGCTAAAAAGAGAGAAAACTCATTTAAACAAGAGATAATGTATACCTTCCAAGCATCACGTGGGCACGGAGACTGAAAGTCTCTCTGTCATCATCTCGCATGTCTGTCTGGCTGCTCGGAAAGATAACCCATAGGGTCACAAAGTTATTCTTCAATGTCTACATGAAACATTTCCTTCTTGCAAACTGTTTGTTCTGCAGTGTCAGGTTCTTCCTGGAATTTGAAAAAGCCAAGTGAATTCTTCCTAAAACTCCATTCTCCCCTGTAATGTACGCTGTCTTCTAGCTAAGTTCTCCTGTTCCAAGAAATACCCTTTGATGATACACAAAACTAAACTTTGTGAAAGTACTGGCAGTGCTGGGGAGCAAAGGGAACTTGTAGCTCTACAGCAAGAGCAAAACAAGCAGAACATATCCCGAAGCAATTTCATGCACATACTACTTCAGAGCAGCCTTGTTTTTTTTAAAAAGTGTTCTCCTACTTTTAGAAGTAACATAAAAAATTCAAGATTCAGCACCTGCTCCAGTGAAAACTGCAAAGAGATCCTTTTCTCCCTATAAATCACAATATCCTCTCTTTGCTTCAAGAACCTCCTGGAAGCCCAATACTACCGAGGGCTTTGGAAACAGATCGATTACTGGCAAGAGAAGGAAAAATATTCTGTCTTCCAAATTTTACACTGATGCAATTCTACTGGGAGGGAAGAGCGAGAATGAGGCTGCCTGTAGGAATTACTGGGGAGCCCTTTTGTCAAAAAAAATTGTAGAAGATGGTAATAAACCAACCAGAAGCCCTAACCATGGTGGCAGAACATCCACAAACAGGGCTCATGCCTGTCTTTCTAACTAGCAAAGCACCATCTGTTGCACTTTATAAAGTCTTTAATTAAACTCCTCCAGTACAACTCAGATATGTCTGTTTCTTCCTATTCTACAAACAATTCCTGGAAATCTCTGCAATTATCTTATATTACAGACAAGAATTGCCAATTAAAACCTAATCAACACAGTGTAAAGGCAGGCACCAGGCCAAGTGCTTCTAATTTTCTTCCCATTTTCGACCTGCTTGCCCCTTGTACTTCAGAAAGTTCAGAGAAGACAGAAGATGCAATAGAAGGCAGAAAAGGAGAGAAAATTGGGAAGACTCACCACTGCTTCATTTTCACTTCCTTAATTAACTGTGGAATTCTTGGATTCAGGCACAAGTAACTCACAGGTCACAACCACTGCAAGACAAAAGAAAGCAATGCATCTGCTGCATAGCTGATGGCTCGTTTGGGGGATGGAACACAACCGTGGTGCTCAGATGTGATCAGTGCTCCCTCTGATCTGCTGAATCAGAGCTCGCAGGGGTCAGGACCTCACTGTGTGTCACCCACTGGTACAGCACAAAGTCCTGCCTCGTCATCAGTGCTCCCCAGCTCTCAACTCCAAACCTCTCAGCCCAAATTCTGACATCTGCTGGGTCTGCAGCAGTTTTCAATCAGCCCACCTCGTCTGTCTCTGCCACAGCCACTTCTGGCATTAGCAAGAAGATAAATCTGGCTTGATGCACTTCTTTCCTGGGCTGCTACAGAAACAAACAGCAGAACAACCTGAGACTCACTCCAGGACACCAGGATTTACTTTCAGAGAGCAGCAGCATCATTCATCTGAAACACCACGAAACCCTGCACAGTTTACACCAGAGGGTAAACTGCAGCTATCTATTCCTGGCTAGAAAGAAAACAGAGCACTGCTATTACTTTATCTTCTTCTGTCAAGAAACAAATAAATGCAGATTGAATTATAAACCTGGGCTGCTGGAAGCAATGTGCAAATACCTGAAGGAGACTCCAGCAAGGATAATAAATAGGTGTGCCCTTTTCTCAGCTGCATGCATTTAGGACTAGCAAGCATTGGCACAGTCATTCCTTTGGGATACACACTAATGCAGCTTCCAGCACTGATGTATTCATCCTCTCCCCACCAACAACTTCCCATTGCTTCAGCAGACATGACTGCATTTCGAACAAGTTCCAAACTTTCTCGAGCTGTGGGGTCAATCCTAAAGGAGACACTCAGCCATGCAGTATTAGAGGGCTGTTCACAAAGCAGAAAGGCCCCGATTCTCTTGACTGGAACACCAGAAATCAGTTCTGCTCAGCTCACTGCCAACAGTAATAAACTGCTGGATGGATAAGAAGCATTACTACCTGCCCTTATAGCAGGAAGGGTGTGTGTGCCTACCTGTTCTTCACCTAAAGCACCAGGGAAGATATCTCACCTTGCAGAAAGATGCAATCAGTTACACTGAAATTAGTTAGCATTTCACATAGGCAATCTCCCCCAGCCTTCAAACCTCATAAAATGCCCACTTTCTAAATGAAAAACATGCAAACACCCAAAATTGCAAATCTCATTTCACACCACGTCTTTGGGGGGGGAAGTTGGGGGGTTGGGTGGGGAATGGAGGCACAAAGGACTCAGAACTGTGAGGAGAGAAAGAAGTAGAAATCACGTGGAGAATGGTTTCAATACTTACATTCGCACAGGAAAAAAAAAGACTTTTTCCAACAGCTTCAGGAGATTTCTCATTAACGCAAAAGGAAAGGATCTGCAAGTTTAAATGAAAAAGTATGCTTTGTTCCTCTACACAAACAAGCACTTTTCTACTTCAAGCAACCACTTGTCTCATAAAATGGCAGGAATGACATGGATGGCTCAGGGTGGAGCTCCCTCCCATCCACTTCCCTCTTTTTTTTCCTTATTATTATACAGATAGTTCTACTTAAATGCCTGAGCATTAATACATTAATATTCCTCCTTTAGAGCCACAAAGCTGAGCCACATGAATGCTTGCATATATTTATACACACACTATTAAAACAAAAACCCAAACTCTGCAAATCCCTCCTAATGATCCCTGTAAACACCACGCATCATTCACATCAGCTTATGGGTGGCTGCAACGCCCCACTATGCCTGAATCCCAAACACCTGCTAACACAGGGCAGAACATCACAAGGCACTAATGCTCCTCAAGACAGAGCTGCAGATGCTCTCAGAGGTGCTGCAGTGATAAAGAGGTTATTTTCTTATTATTGCTGAAGGAGAAGCTGTGAGGTTTGAACAAGAGACCATAAAACTCGTGCAGGCACCACTGCAGTCAGGGTGCCAACACATGCATAACATCCAGCCATCCTTTGTGGATAAATGAAAGATTCCCCTCTTCTGGGAGGTAACAACAGCAGCGAAACAGCAGCGTAAAACTGCACCGTTGCTTTATCTTGCATGCTGTTTTGCATGCTAAGCTTTATCCCTACCAAACTAGCAAAATTAAATGGTGAATTTACAAAGGCAATAAACTTCCGAGAGGGAGAGAAATTAAATGGTTATAACGTAGAATAACAGAAAGATCTCCAGACAAATTTAGATTAAGATGCAGCACCGCTTCCCCACACAGCCTGCAATGGCCCCAGTGAAAGCAACCGATGGATTGGGGCAGCACAGAGCAGGGAAATGCAGAGAGGAAGAGAGCGAGGGAGGAACCCCAGCTCTAGAGAAATCAACAGCAAAACACTTCTGGCTTTTCTACAGATTTTCCCACCCTAAACCCAACTCAGAACACATTGTACCACACCAGAGCATTTTTCCCCACCGCTGTGCCCATGACAAGGGCGAGCAGAAAGCACTGCTATTATAGGATGAGCCAAAGCAGCTGGGTCAGAACAGACCAACCCTTCTCTTGCTTTACTCTCACGTGGCTTCCCATTTTCTCTGGCATGCAGATAGTTATGAAACAGTCAAGTTCTGCTCCTGGACATCATCACAGGGCTTCCAAAATCTCATAAAGCCTGCTTCATCACCAGATGTGAATCTGTCAGGGCCTTCTTAGATAGCTGCACTCTGAGAGACTTCAGGCATCACTTGTTAAATTACATAATTGCATCGTAATTAACAGAAATTTTATTCTGGTTAGGCAGTGCCCAAAACCTCATATTTGTTTGCACTGCCCTTAGCATGAGGGGGCTGGGAAGGCTAAAGGCCCTTTTAATCCCATTGCCCACAGCCCTTCAATTCCCACAGTGCCCAGCAGCAAGGACAGCCCTCGTTGTCTTCCATCTCCACTGCAGATTTGGTATCAAAAGGGGGATCCAAAACCACCTTGAAAAGCTGATGTCACCTTCTGAAGTTTTCACTACTGCAATATTAAACAGGGCCTAGGAAGTGTATGGGTTGGTTAACAGATATATTATGATCATTGCTGAGACAATAAGAGTGTCATCATTGATGCTGACCTGCTGCTACTGCTTTGTTAGCTCAGTGAATCAAACCCAACTTCAGAAAAATAAAAGCAGAGTAATATGACCAGAGCTTAGCTACCCACCAACCTACTGCTGCAATTGGCCAGAGGAAACACTGCAAATGTGGAGAGAGCCTGCCAAAGAGAGAAAAGAACGTGCACACAGTAATGAAGGCAGGGCTGGCTGCAGCTCCACTGTGGGCTAATGCAATGCCTACCAGCAGCACAGAAAGTGTTCTGGAAAAGCAATACAGGGAGATCCCACTATTTCACCATAAAGAAGCCAAAACTGTTCTGTTTGGACACTGGGGTGTGAAAGAATTGCTTGGCTTCTCCCTGAGAAAGTTTCAAGGGCCCCAGTCCTCCATGATCTCTTGTTTAAGAGAAGAATCAGTAGGCAGCTCCTGCCAGCAAGCATCAGGGTTTTAACAGCCAGACAACTGCAGCCAAATGTTAGTATAGGATCAGCCAGTGGAACAAAACAAACACTGCTGATAAGTTGGGACAGG